ATTTAAAAAGAAGAAAAAAAGAAAATCGAATTGTAATAGTCCAAATCTCATTTCTTGAAGTCCTGGCAAGTTTTGTATAAAATAAGTTAATATTTCTCCATTTATGTTTTAATGTATACTGATTTTTATTCTGTTTTCAGAACTGAGAATAAAATACAAATAAAAATTTCACTTCAGTCGTATAAAAAAATGGTTTCCGTTACATGTATAGAGCTTTGTATAGATTTTAACTGAAAGTGAGGATTTCTTTCTAGAGAAAATAGATTGACACACTCGGAACTGAATCTGACGCAGACCGGAAAGGAAAACAAATCAACATATTAAAGCTTATCTGCCGTAGTTTACAGGAGGGATTAGAGCGCACTGCAAGGTCACTGGACAGGTGGTTATCTCATCAACTCAGCTCTCAGTTAACATAAGAAAAAGAGGATCATGGGGGACCAATGGTCACCGATTAGGCATTGTTTGTTATATAGAGGGCGCAAGTAGCTACAAGTAGTGCAGTGGGCCTTTAAGGTCGGATGATAGTGGGTAGTAACGGTTGTTAATGAGCGTGATATTTAAACATCTTGCAATGTGTCTAAAGATATACTGAATCAGGTGCAATCAGTCACTTTTTATATGCTTAATGATCATTAATTTAGATTTGTATGGTTAGAAGATGGACTAACATCTACTTGAAAATGTCAAATGATCCTGAATTTCTTGTCGATCGTGCGTCTTTGTAGTTATAATGGGAGCGTCAGGTGCAAAAGTCTAACGCATTCGATGTTGATAAGCCCTTATTGCCTAGCATTTATCCATCTGGGTCGAGCTTCGGTCGTCACCCTCTTATAGTCAGTTGCACACGTTATATAAAGGAACCTCCCACCCCCCCCCCCATCCTTCTTCGCCGTCGACTCCATCTCAATTTCATGTCATCGCTTCCTATAGTATGTTATGAACCTCTCTCTCTCTCTCTCTCGCTCTCCATTATTTAACCTCTTTCAACATCTTCCTCTTTTCACCTTCTTTTTCCTTTTCTGTTTCTTCTTCACCTCATGTTTTTTCTTACATTGTTCCCCCCCTCTCTCTCTCTCTCTCTTATAATCTTCACCACATCTCCTTCTACGCCAACCAACCCCCCGACCCCCCCCCCCCCCCCCCCCCACTCAGGGGTCGGAATGACCGCATGCGTGTTGCCAAAATGTCCGGTAAAGGGGTACTTTTCGTGCGACAAAGTCCGGCCCGAGAATTTTTAAAAGACTTTTCAACCGGAGATTTCTTTTAAAAGGGGGTGTTTTTCCTTTTTCTCTCTCATGTCTTTGGACTCCTGAGAAGTTATTCCGAATTTAGGGGGGGGGGGTACATTGAGCATTTTTCCTGATTTACGGGGGTCTCCAAGGCAGGAAAAGCCCGCGAAAAGCCCGCGAAAGGGGGGTTCGGAAATGTTGGCGGTCCTCAGATAGGGGGTGCTTTCAAAAAGAGGGAACGAGCATAATGCGTACCCTAAATAACACTGAGTGGAGGGGGGGGGGGCCGGGGGCCAACCTTCTACCGCCGCCCTTCTCTCTACAGCCGCCATCTCCCCGTCTTCTTTCCCTTGTCCCGTCTCCCCTCCCTTGCCCCCCCCCCCCCCCTCCCCCGCTCTCGAACCTTTTCCCTCTATCTCTACTCCCCCATCCGAAATAAAAGCTTAGAAATTATACACCATAGGCTTTATGATAAGTTTGTTTAAAAACTAATGTGATTTTTACATTAAACCTTTTTAATATCCCCCACCACTCATAGGGTGACATTTTAATATACAATGGAAAACGTTTTTAGCTTGTGATCTGTCATACTGGAAGATCAATTGCCCGACAGACAATGACAGAGCATGCGTATAAAGAAAAACAATCTGCCATGCACTTCCTCCTTCAAAAGTATATTTTTCTTCTGAACTAGATTTTCTTTCCCACGACATAATACAAGAGAATAATGTTTAAAATGTTTGTTTTGTCAAAAAGAGCGCATGTGTTACAAATAAGACTGATTGACCATTTACCCAATATAAAATGTTATTTTTGCACGTTCTTAGCCCTCTGTCTTAATAATCGTGGTGATTACACTTGCAATCAACACGTTGGCATTGTTTTATATATGGAATATGGTTCGATTTTTAAAGAGTGTTTATTTTAAGAGAACAGCTTAACTCAGGTGGGGCTCATCTACATCCGTTCATTAACTTGGAGTCTTAATCGGTACAAAACAAAGGTCCCCCTTCTCTCTCTCTCTCTCTCTCTCTCTCTCTCTCTCTCTCTCTCCTCTCCCCCCCCCCCCCCCCTCTCTCTCTCTCTCTCTCTCTCTCTCGCTCTCCTCCCCTGTTTCTCTCACTCAGGTCTTTTTATTTATCAGTGATTAGGCCATGCCTAATGACACAATCATGTTGACGATCGAGACTGACAAAGTTTTGTTGACTAAAGTAGGAGACCAGCCTGTAGGTCCCGTGACCAATCTCGGGGAACAAAGGTTTGAAAGTGTTTTTGTGTTCCCTGATGAATACCGAACAATTTTGACTTGGGCTGCCCCCTTGAAAATCCCAGGCATTTTCGTGAGGGTCAACAAAGGTCATACAGGGTAGAAATTTAAATATATTCCAATCGTGTCGATATGCATATCAAATTACTCGTCTGGTCATGAGGATTCAAAAAATGTATAGTGTGTGTGTGTGTGTGTGTGTGTGTGTATTGGGTTTTTACAGACGTGTATCAATCAGATATGATTATTTACGTCTGGGACCGACCTTTAAACGTCACCATCCGAAAGACGTGATTCAGTTTCGAACCTGTGTCCTCGGCTGAATCAGTTTGTAACTTCCACTTTTTAGCTGGATTACAGGCGCACGCCACAACGCCTAGTTTGCTATACCTCCGACCTGAAATGAGGGCGCTATGGTCAAAACGTTGAAAGGTCAACACACTTTTGACCTGAGGTCAAATTTCACATGTGTATAATAGGCAATGGCGAGCTTGCAACCTATTTTGAAAAATTACGGTGGGTGAACTTTCAAAAGAAATGAGACATGAGGGCTCCAATGAAAGAGCTAGTGATAACGTACGTCGGGGTGGATGTGCTTTTCGTTTAAACAAAAAATGAATTTTTAACGATTTAAAAAAAAAACGTCCATAGGCTAACATGTATGGCTGCTGACTCTGACGATAGGGGGCGTTGTGAAATAAGACTAAACGGAGCTATATGATTGAGGTTTTCTGCGAACAACAGAAAACCCAAATTATGTATTCTTTTCTCAAACACATTTTTTGGGGGAAAAAATCTTTGCAGAAGTGTGTTTTAAATTACATCCTCTTTCACATTGTGAAACAAATCAAGTGAAATTTTGCCATCACTTTTTTTGGCGAATTTGGAGCTCACTTCAGATGGGCTTTAGCACTTAGAGACATAGGCGCCGGAAGTGGGGGAGGGGGGGGGGGTGGGCATAAGACTAAACGGAGCTATATGATTGAGGTTTTCTGCGAACAACAGAAAACCCAAATTATGTATTCTTTTCTCAAACACATTTTTGGGGGGAAAAAATCTTTGCAGAAGTGTGTTTTAAATTACATCCTCTTTCACATTGTGAAACAAATCAAGTGAAATTTTGCCATCACTTTTTTTGGCGAATTTGGAGCTCACTTCAGATGGGCTTTAGCACTTAGAGACATAGGCGCCGGAAGTGGGGGAGGGGGGGGGGTGGGCAAAATGCAGTTTCACCCCCCCCCCACAAAAAAAAAAAAAAAAAACAAAAACTAAGCAAAAAGAAAAGCAGTAAAGGAGAGTAAAGATGGTTTGTATTTTGTAACCAAAAAGAACAGAAAAATAATAAAACCTGAATTGAATCACATACAAATGATATTACATTTAAAGAAGGAAAGTTAACAGGAATTAAATTTCCTGATACATTCCGCATGCCCCTATATTTATGTATGGAGGTTTTTATAATAGCGATACGCGCATATCGTGGAAATATTGTAAATATGTTCATTCAGGGCCCCCATGGAAGACCACTACTTGTTGGTGAATGGGCTACCCTGTCAAAAGATTAGAAATAAATAAATTTTTAAAAAAGAGGATGGCAAAGCGTGTGTGTCTTTTACTATAGAGGTGAGAAGACATGAGCCCCTGAACACTGGCGTACTGATAGGGGGGGGGGGAGGTATTTCTAATGATTTGTGATTTACAAATGTTGCTGAAATGAAATTATTTTCCGATATTTTTTCTCAATTTGTTTGTAAATCGTACCTTTTTATGCGTTTGTTGAAAAATTACAAATCCCAAATTTACAATCGGGCGAAATCATATAATAATTTAGAAGTCTTCATGTCGGGTTTCGGGGGCTCAAGCCCTTCCCCCCCACCCCCTCACTTAAAAAAAAGTATTATATGTTAAAGAGAAAAAGAAAGAAAGAGAGAGAAAAAAAATGAGTGACCTGCCAATGTCACAAATTAGGTATCAAAATATGCTCATCTGGCCGTAATTAAATTCCTAAAACCCCTGAGCTTACGGGGGCTCTGCCCCCTGGACCCCATGGACCCTAAGGCGGCCCCTGGATTCTCATCTGATTCTAATCTAAATACCTAAAACCCCTGAGTGGTGAGCACTAATTTTGTTTTCATCGAAAATTTAAAAATCGCACCCCCCCCCCACCCCCCCCCCCCTCCTCCTTGAGCACTAATACTGATAATAATAATATACCATTTTTCGTAATATAATGCATAGAGGCTATGTCCTTGTGAAATGCCCCAATACCAATATTCTATTAACCTGTAAGAATGCAAAATGCATATATACGACACGTTTTGTTAGGTAGGGCAAGCCCTATTGTTTCTCCAACTCGCATTCCGACCACAGAAATACAATTATTCCTAACATCATGACATACTCTATCCGATAGTTCAATTTTTTGCGCTAGCGTATAGCAGGGATAAAAAAACTCACATAGCTAGCTGCATGCATTGTTGTACATGTATGCTCGCACCGAGTCTGTATCAAAGACTAAACAGTTAACATGGAAACGCTCAGCTAGCTTCTCCTGCAACGGCTTTGTTTTGGTCCAAGAACATCACATTTTACCCAATATTTCCACAAGGTAAGTGACTTAACATATGTATGTGGCGTAATAAAACTATATGAAATTAAATAATAAGCTAAGCCTAATTCGTAAAACGAAACATTCGAGTCATTTTGTTCTTTATATGAGAGAAAATTTTCATTACAGCCCCATATGCTCAGTTTTGTGTATTGTAAATTAGAGCTGTAGATATTATTATTATTGAACCTTATTTCTTGAAAGTTTGCCTGTCATAGTTTTAATAGTGCAATAAACATATGAGTTTTTCGGTCACTTGAGACATATCCAATTTTATTTTGAACTATTTGTTCCAGAATTGTTTTAACTTCTTATTGAAATCCTGTTTCGATTTTTCAAAAAAAAAGAAGAAAAATAGGCCTACTGAAAAGTTGCCATGGCATGGTAGTAGAGTAAAGTACCCGGTAATCGGTCAGCTCCGGTTTTCGGCCAATTGGTTGGATACATGGTAAAATCACTTTAAAATACATCGCATAATAGCATAACACATATCCCACCCATACCATACCATGCCAGTGTCACTGAAGAACCACATTTGCAATGAAAAATATATCCTAAAATATCACATTTTAGCGATGTAATCGGCGGTCCCGCTACCCAAATCTGAAAAATCGAGTTTCTTACGCGTGTATGTAAGAAATATGGGTACCATAAAATGAGCTTTATTTCAAGTATTTTTCAGATATAGAGCCCGATTTTGTGCTGGTCGCAAGCTCAAAAGTATCTCATCGCATGTATTAAATCAATGCAGCCGCACACCGCGACGCACACACGATATGTCTGTCTAATTCAGATTCCAACTTCCGATCACCGCTGTGCCTGTATTCGGCCAGGCGAGCACCCGGGAGCTCCGGCGTGGGATACCTGCTCCGCCCGCTTTTGCTATACATCAGCGCAGAAACGCACGGCGCGCGCGAGCGCTTCCTATTGACTTTGTACATACGGCCGTAAACTGAAACGCTCGGCCGATAACCGGCTCCAAAACAGTGAAAATTGAAATGAATATTGTCATGGCAATTCGTGATTTTTTTTTTGGATTCTTTTTTTGTTTAAATAATAATAATATTTGCTTCATGATTTGAACAAGAAATGATAATAAATAGGAAGTAAAGAGTCCAATAAATAGGATTTTGTCTTAAGTGGCCGAAAACCGGGTACTTTACTCTATTAATTTTCATTTCAGAAGTCTGGGTGGTATTTTTGTTTGCCTCATGCGATTTGCCTGAGTTCTTCCTCCACAGTTTCAGAAAACGATATAGAAAAATATGAAGCTACCGTGTGTGCGTCTCACACACTGCAAAATGCGATGCTGCATGGCGAATGGCGATACCGATGGGACACTTGCTGATTTAGTTAGGCCCAAATTAATTTGTTCTAATTTTAAACCATGGTTCATGTTAATGAGGGTTTAAACCATTGTCCATGGGTTCGATTTAAACCTCCTTTGTGAATTCGGGCCTTAAAGTTATAAGCTTGCAACTCACAAAAAATCTAGTTCTAAAACCAAAAAGTTCTTGAAAAACAGCTTGGTTATTACTTATTTTACTTACAATTTTGAAGCACTATTCCTGTCTCCAAATTGAGATTTCCATACCATTATCAGTAAACTCAGATTTTTGGGGAATGCACCTTAAACACATTGAAATTTGTTTATCTTTTTTCAATATTTCCCAACCAGTGCCAAAGAAGATTTCATCAGTGGGTAATTTTCGGTTCCTCCTTGGCTTTGGTTGTATCAAATTTTCAAAACATTATTGATTTTTTGAGCTACTGGCTCATGTGCAAAGTTTGGTCATATTTAAATATGGTCATACTGCCATGGTTTATGTTAATATCTACATGCAGTAACTGACCACCCTTATTGATTTGGTTCTCACTTAACAACAACATCAGCTTTAATTGAATTAATATGATACTTACTTGATGTATGATTTCCAGTACTTACTGTTTTTTAAGTTTCTTTTATTTCCTTTTTCAAAATAAATTTCAGATAAATAAGATGGCAGGGGAGGAGGACAATGGTCAGAATGGATTCATCATCGATTCTGCCAGACTCTCTACGGATGGCACAACAGAGGAGGATGACGAAGAGGAAGGCAACCAAGGGGTCGCTAAGAGTTTCAGTTCTCACAGCAAAGAAGTGGAGATGATCCTCAAGTCGGCCAAGGCGGTTCAGGCCATCGCGGTGGATCTCAGTAAGAAGGGACTGGTCAAGATTCCAGAGGAGCTCTACGGCATGGACCATGTTGAGGTCAGTATTTGTACTGTAAAAAATGTTGCGCATATTCTATGACAAATTAGCTCTCAGACAATCAGATTTCAGTAGATTATAACAGTTAGTGTAATTTGATTTACAATGTATGCAACGGGGCCCAGATTCATTTAAGATCTGGATCACAATTATTAAAACACTGAAATGTCACAAAAAATTGTAGCATCTCAGTAAATGAGAGAGGCAACTTGTATGGCCCGTAGAAGGGCATAAGTTCAAAATATTTTCTTTTTTTCAGTTATAACTTTGTAATGAAAAATAAAAGAATAGTCAAATCTCAGCCCAACACTAACATCCTTTGGCAAAACATTAATCTACATTTGCAACTCTCCACCCAGGTGTAAATGGACACCTGGCAATTAATTGAATATTATTATTATTATTATTATTGTTATTGTTATTATTATTAATATTATCATTATTATCATAATTGTTATTATTATTGTTGTTGTTGTTGTTTTTTGTTGTTGTTTTTGTTATTATTATTTTTTTTTTATAATTATTTTATAGTTCTTGTACTTGGAGGGGAACCTTTTGCAGAAAATTCCTTCAGAACTGTTTGAGGATGTCACGAATGTCAAATGGCTTGATCTCAGGAATAACAACATACATCACCTTCCAGCAGAAATAGGTTATCATCGGTGAGTCGATCTTCTGCTTAGATTGATATGTATTATAATTTTGAATGTCAATAAAATAATTTGTAAATTATTATCACAGTGGTAATAAAAATTGTTACTGATATGAAGAGCTTTGATCTAATTTTGTAAATTTTGGAAAGATGGAACATATGATACATGTATGGAGAGTTTGTCATACAATGTATTTCTTCCCCCCCCCCCCCCCTCCCTTTTTTTTTTTGTTTTTGATGGTGCATCTTCCATTGCAGCTTGAGACGGGCACAAATAACATTTTTCTTCTTATCACAGAAAGAAAGTTAAGATACATGTACCGGTATACCACTAGCAGTGTATTACATAGCTTGCTTTTTTTCCCCAAATTTTATCCAGGTGTTTAAAGACTCTTTTACTGGAAGGGAATCAAATATCAGAGCTTCCTCCAGAAATGGGTGAGTAGATTTCCATGCGAAAGGAGACTGTTCTTCAGATCCTGTGCCCTTCCTAATGGTTATTGATGTATTAGCCCAACATGCAATTTCAGTCGCTCAACCACGTTGCGAAAATTTCTTTTAAAAAGCCTGTCGACCTCAAAGTGATTTCATCTTGTTGTTTGAGCAAATTGAGATTAAATCTGGTGAAACACTCAGACGCATTTTCTGTACCTTTTCCTTTTAATTAGTAATATAATGATAATAAAAATAAATACTTTCTGAAGCGCACTTATCTAATAAATTACTCAAGGCGCTATACAAACAAAATGCACTAATCTCTCTCCAGAATTTAACAACATGATATCGTTAGTAACTCTGAGTGAATAAATTCTTTTTAACATGGATCTGAAAGGTTTCTAGGCATTGAATGTTTCAAATTTCATTTGGTAACTTGTTCTAGAGGACTGGTGCGACGTACACGAATGCACGTTCCCATAATTAAGCAAGATGACAGTCGTCTTTGTATGCATGATTTTTTCAAAAGTATACCTAACTTCAAGGAAATTATTTAAATTTGTCTACAGAATTATATATATGTTGCCTTTTATGCTAATCCTTTCACTATACCATGTATTTGGACAATTGAAATTTTTCTGTAAATAAGAGATATGATGCTCTTGGTGTATGCTTTAAATCATTGTGGTCAATCCGCTTATAATTTTCCACCTGTAGGTCAACTGCGGACTCTGACTGGTCTAAATCTTCGAGGTAACCCCATCGAGTTCCCACCGCTGAAGGTCATAGAGAAAGGAGTGAAGGAGATACTGCGTTACCTGAGGGAGGCAATGGCTATCAGGAGTCGAAGACTCCAGTCAGCTGGTAAGTTAGTCCCACATTCTTTATCATTTGATGATAAATCCATCAATTTACACATATTTGTAATGTGTCTATATAATCTGGTGATACAACATTTGCTCTGGTGACATTTTACCCTGGGCTTTGTTCAGTAAAAATACATAGGGTTTAGGTATTGGATGTTATTGGATGTTAGGGTTTGGTATAGTGTTATATAGATACATGGTTGTAATTATTAAGAATTTGAGTAGGAACTGAATCAGGATTACTGCATCACACTTCTTGTAGTGGAGTAAAATTAGACATCAAAATAAGTTTGAAATGCACCACAGAGCAATAGTCACAACGTCATTTGTGTTAAATACAATTACTCTTTCTCTGGAGTTTGAGTTTTTTATAAATACGGTATCTGGGTTTTTTTAATAACTAAGAGTCCCTTTATTTGTTAACTCTCATTGCACTGCCATTCTCACCTGTTAAAATTTGATAATAATAATAATAATAATAGTAGGGTTCTTGTATAGCGCTCATGTCTGTCAGATTTGACACTCCTGGCGCTCCTGATTATTACCCTGGCTTTAGCACGGCTGCCATATGGCGTTCTAGGACATTAGTGCCGCAGTGGGACTTGAACCGCGGACCTTGTGATCGACAGTCCGGTGACATATCCACTCAACCTCGACACATAATAATCACTAATCAAACCTCTACATTTCAGAACTCCGAATCGAGGACCTGAACCTCAGCGACGCTGCTTCCCACTCCTCTGGGAGTGAAAACGAATACAACCCCAAGACCCGACTCGACCCCACTGACCGCCTCAACCACATCCAGTCGTCCAGTAGGCTGTCCGTCCGGTCAAGCATGAGTAACATGTCGGACCTCGAGTTTCCCAGGCCCAAGTCTGTCTCGCTGCACAAGCACATGGCGTACGAGGAGTACAGGCAGCTGCAGCATCAGAAGTTCAAGAGAGCGGGGGCACTTGGTGTCCTCGGGAAAGATAAGTACGTACTGGTAGCCTGATTTCTGTGCCCTTCCTAATGTTTGTGTTAATGAGGTGATCCCGGCCCCCCCCCCCCCTCCCCCACACACTTCCTGTTGTTTAGCAAATCCTTTTGGGAAATGTTCTTTGAAGTGGTGTTAGGCACAGTCTTTGAAACACCAAGAAAAATGACATGGACAATGAGTTTAGCTTCAATGCAGGTGACATGTGAAGTCATTATGTTGACAAACAAGGTAGAGAAACAATAATGTAATCATATTTGGGTAAAAGCAGGTTCATTACAGTTCTGGAAAGAAAGATAGAAAACAAATTATGAAACTAGTTTGCATCATTACTTGGAAAGAAAAATGTGAACATACTTTGATTGTTAACAATCTTAGCCCCTATTCACCTTGTTTTTCTGGTAAATGACTTAAATCATGTTTCATGGATTCCCCATCTCTAATTTCCCCCTTTCCAAATTCATCGACTCATACCTCCTGTAATGTTACATAACCCCACCCCCTTGCCCTGTTCAGATCCAAATATTAATCCTATCCCAGCATGATGCTAGCAGTACATGAATGGAATGAGGTGAATTAATATTCAACCCTATGTTAATATACCAGGGTATCAAAAATGGAAACAGGACCCTATTTATCTTATAACATTGTGTGCGTTCCCCATACCCCTTTCACATCCTTGAATTAATCTGATTATCATCCTTGTATTACCCCAGCATGAGACAGGTTTCATCTGGAAGAAGGTATAGTGCTATTTTCCCTTTAATTACACGCTAATAACATAACTCTATGTAACATCCACCCAACCATCATGTTTTATTGCACTTAACTTAACTTAAGAATGGCAGTTTTAGGATAGTTGTATGTTTCAGCATTTTTCAGAACTAAGTTTCCTAAAATTTGTCAAGCTTATCAGGCTTCATACACTTTTCATTACATGCATATATCCCATTTGTTAACTCCATGTATATTAATCAAATAATGCATGTGCATGAATTCATTGTACAATCTATATATGCATGAGTAAAAGCTGTCTTCATCATCGCATCTATCTAGTGGTTTCATGTGATGAAAATGATAACAATAATAACAAAAGTAGTATTAATACTGTTCTCCCTGAGGGTCGTGGGAGTTGTTTCACAAAGACTAAGATTGACTTTAAGTTGTACGTAACTATGGCAGGCTGTTCGTGCATCTGTTTGCTCTCACCATTTACTGGCCTTGCATGGTCTCTCAAAGGCTGACTTACAAATCATGGCCACAAATCTACAGAATTTACATTTTTTTGAAGAAAAAATATTATCTAAAGATCATACACACCAATACTTATATGCTAGATGTCTGATCAACCTTTTCTGATCGATTCCACAACGTTTATTTCACAATGCAATCGCATGACCATAACTCAACTTATCTTTAATTCAGTGATCTGACAAATGCTACTGTGACATTTGCTCCAGTTGTATCTCATCAATTAAATAAGGATAGGGACTTGTATGCAACTGGGTTTTAGTTTAGGGTTAGTGTTAATCGTGGGACCAGCGTTGAAGTCAGAAATTTGGTAAACTGTAATTGCCTGGAGAATGATTGTTGCCAGAGCATGTTTTGCACAATCCTAACCCTAGTGTGTCTTAATTGTGTGCAGTGTGTGGTTCCATCCATAAATATCAATTTTTCATCTTAATTGTTTCCATTAATTACCATATCCCTTTTTATAGCCTCATTATTTCAAACGTTAATTGAAAATGTACCTACATGTCTTAGGTCACTCTAATCTCCAATCAAAACTTAACTCCCACAATCCTTGTTTTGTTGCTTTTCAAGAAAATAACATATTTTTTTAATCCAAAGGAATCCATATAAAAATCATGTTTATTTCTATAATCTTACTTTGCACAGGTAAGTAAATCCTACTAATTGCTCTAAGACGTCCTTTCCTATAAATACACAGAATGATGAAAGACAATTTATATCCTCCTTCTCTTATTTCATATTTGCATTTAAATTGTATTAAGTTCTTTGTACTTTAAAATCACAAAAAATCTTTGTAAATGAGTGATTTTCATGTGGAACTTCCTGTGTCATATTCAAAAGACAAGTAAGCAAAGCAATTCTTTAGGCTACAAATTTGCTATTGCACAAATCTCACACAACCATTAATAATGCTCTTAAAATCTATAGCAGAATGGGAATATAAGGTTGTGAACTTGAAGGGAACATGTAGTTTGAGACTTTACAAAAAATTCTGAGTGAATTTATAACAGGAATTCTGTGGGACTTTAAAATTTACCTGTCACAAAGAAAATTGTAAATATGGCTCTTCACCTGTCCATCTAGAGCTGTGTTAATGAAAGGAGTATGAAAATAAATAGAGTATAACATAAAAAAGTAAAAACGCATGAAACCCATGTCAAACTGTGGTTCCTTATGTTCCCTTGTCTCTGAGAGTGCATACAGGTATGATAACAAATCTACTCGCATGTCACCCTTTTAATTTCGCAAGAATATTTGAATTTGCAATATCTATTTGTATAATATCTCAAGCTCATATTTTTAATATACAGCAATATGGAACCCCTATTATACAGAGTAAAACATTTTTTGGGAATTGAATCCCAATTGAGATTTCATCGTAGCAGAATTCAAGATTACCTCTTAAAGCTCATCTGTACTAGTTTATAGGAGGGATAAGACCACCCTTCAAGATCACTGGACAGGTGGTTATCTCATCAACTCAGCTCTCAATAAATATAAGAAAAAGAGGATCATTGGGGACCAACAGGCACTGATTAGGCATTGTTTGCTATGTAGAGGGCGCATAAGTAGCTACAAGTAGTACAGTGTGGCTTTAAATTCTAATACCTGTTTAAACATCTCCGATTTCTCACAGAAGGAAGAGAAAGCAGAAGATGAAGAAGAATCGTTCTCCTCCCATCGATCCCGTCCAAACCAAGATGGCCGAGGAGAGACGGCTGGCTAAGTTGGCTCAGCTCAAACAGAAACAACTTGTGATGGAACAAAAGAGAAAGTAGGTCATTGTTGGGTGCCTTAAAGGTACTACATGTATGTCCCATTTGCAGGCCAAACAAATGAAAAGGTTAAATTCCAACGGCATTTGAAAGATAATACTAATTTGGAACTTCCCTAAAAAAAAGTGGGCTTGAAAATGTCTTTAAGTGGGAAAATAACGACTCTTAGTTGTCAAATCGACTTAAGAGCTATAGAGCCAGTAAGTAATAGTCTGATTTTCAGACCATTGTACTGAATGGTCGTACGTTTTATGCAGCGCAAACATTCAATCAGTTTAATTTTGGCCATTACAAGAAGTGGGTTATTGATGTAGACAAATGCTCATTTACCCTTTACAGCTCATTTTATGTATGTTATTACCAAAGAAGAAAAAAGCCAGTCAGTCACTCATTAGTGTCTGACAGTGAAGTCTAGCAAGTAAACAGGTTTCCTTGCATAATTTGAATATTAGGACACTGCTAACGTTTAAATTTCACAGATAGGACATACATGACATATTCATAATTCCTGCAAAGTTCTACAGAATTTGATGTTGGCTGCAAAAGGAACATAGTATCTTTAAGTGAGTCAGATGATGAACTTGACAATTCTTGTTCATTATCTGATTTTAACTGAAACTGCATATTTTACAAATTATTATTTGTATAGGTATATTATAAATTATTTGACATATCATGTTTTTTTATGCCTCCGCCACCGAAGGTGGTGCCGGAGGCATCATGTTTTCGGGTTGTCCGTCCGCACATCCGTACGTCCGTACGTCCGTCCGTACGTCCGTCCCGTTTGACCGTTATCACAATATCTCAAGAACCATTTAAGATTTAAACTTAAGACTCGGGAATAGTATTTATCACCATAGGAAGACGATCTGATTAGATTTTGGAGTACGTAGGTCAAAGGTCACAGGTCACAGAGGTCAACTTATGAAATTCCTTGTATTGAGTTTGTTAGCGCGATATCTCAAGAACCATTTGAGATTTAAACTTCAAACTTAAGGATAGTATGTATCACCATAGGAAGACGATCTGATTAGATTTTGGAGCACGTATGTCAAAGGTCAAGGGTCACAGAGGTCAACTTATGAAATTCCATACATTGAGATTGTTATCATGATATCTCAAGAACCACTGGAGATTTAAACTTCAAACTTAGTGATAGTGTGTATCACTATAGGAAAACAATCTGATTACATTTTGGAGCACGTAGGTCAAAGGTCACGGGTCATAGAGGTCAACTTATGAAATTCCATACATTGAGATTGTTATCATGATATCTGAAGAACCACTGGAGATGTAAAAACTTCAAACGTAATGATAGTGTGTATCACCATAGGAAGACAATCTGATTAGATTTTGGAGCACGTAGGTCAAAGGTCAAGGGTCACAGAGGTCAACTTATGAAATTCCATACATTGAGATTGTTATCATGATATCTCAAGAACCACTGGAGATTTAAACTCCAAACTTGTTTAAATTGCTCTATGGCGGAGGCATCATTTTCGACTGCGCGCAGTCAAAATTCCATCTAGTTTACAGATGTCATCTTGCAATATCGTATTAATTTGACCCACCCCCCCCCCCCTGCCAAACAAAACCTCTTTGCCATCTAACTAACCATTTAGATGTACTCTTAAATTATGTTCAAAATGTAGAGACCCCTCCCCCCTGTTATGTATTGGCATCTCATAGCCAAGGATTGTAACACTTTGCATTCCATACGAATAATAAAGCATGCTACACACATGACCTAAAAGTACCACTTGTGTCTGACCGAATATGTTACACCCCCCCCCCCCCCCAGGCAACAAATATAGAAAGAAAAACAATTAAAGGGGATGTAGTATGGCAAATACTGGTTAACGCCGTCTACAACTCCTTTTGGACAACTGCACTTTAAAACGAATGGACTTGATTAACTGGGTCAGTGCGCGCTAGCGTTCGTGAAAGAGCGCTGTTACACGCACGTGAATACTGCGGTCGCGTCGTCCCTAGTCGTATTATACCTGATTGGCCCCGAGTCAAGCCACGGGAAAGACACGTACATGTAGTCTCGTCATGCTACAGCCCATTCATTTAGGAAAACAAGAAATTAAAGAAGGATGCCGTGCAGTGATTGCCCAATTAAATTATGAAAAAGCAGTGAAGATATGTTTTTATTTCCATTGAAAAAATAATTTAGAGTATATATAGTTTTTCATGCAAAATGAGACCACTTGACCGCCCCCAGTAGGTATCAAAATTGAGACAAACAGGAAATAGAAAACATGAAGGGTTTTGCCTACATTATGGCTTCTTCAAGGAAATTTTTAAGAAAGATCAAAAATGAAATTGTATGGCTTTTTCGAGGTCTCATCACCAGACTGCAAATGACTTGGTTTAACGTTTAAGTCCTACCATGGCACCAATGTCCTCTGGCAAGGCTTTTTTCTGCCTTTGCCACCTCCCACCCAGGTGTAGTAGGGGTTGTTTTACAATCAGGGTACACACTTTGTCTCACTTGGGGTGAAAAAAAAAAGTTCCTTTGATTCGTCTGAATTTTTGTTTGTGTGTTGTATACAAGTTACTTGTAAAGTCTGTAAAGTTTCAGGGCTACAAGTGTCAAACTTTTTTTTTTCAAGCATGAAACATATCCTTAATGAAAAAAATAGGGTCAAGTGTCACCTGATGACATTATGCAGAAAGAAAATATTTATTGTTTCTTTGGGTGAATGTGAATGACATAGTTTGATCATTTGATGATATGGAGTCAAAATACAACTCAATTTTTCAAGTGCATAATGGTTTTATTCATGAAAAATTCAGTTTTGCATCTTTTCATACCACAAAATGATGGACTGACAGCATGAAGTTACTGATAAAAAAAAACACAGAGCAGTTTGACCCTTAATTCTGTACTGCACAGCTACACATGGTAAGGGTGCTTTTACATACAAACTTCCAGAATAAAAGGATAGATGGTTCTTGAAATATGTGGCGTCAAAAAATTGTTCGGAGAGGACATTATTTTTGACATGCAGTTGGAACTGCCTGATTCAATTATGATTCATTATTTCATGGCATAAATGAAACTGGAAATATGTAAGGTTTATTAGAACATATTTTATCCTTGTTAGCACCCATTTTAGATCTGCATATATATCTTCAATCACCTTTCGTAGAAAAATTATCTTCTCCCTCCCTTTAAGACTTACTGGTACTAAAAACTGGATTCACATTGAACTACATGTAAATATTTTCAGAAGTTACCTGGACAATACTGTGATTCTATAGTTATAAGTTTTTAGGAATAGTTAACCATACATGTAGTGTTTTGGAGATTTAACAAGCTTTACATTAACATTCGGAGAGGACATTATTTTTTGACATATGATTGGTTTGTGCTCGTAATCTATCTTTCCTTATAAACACAACGATACTATGTGTGTGCAACTTATGTAGAATCTTAGACAGAACTGTTATGTCTCATGAACATAAGTTTTGGGCATGCCCCTCATATGACTCTACCAACTAAACATCTAGACTGGCAGATTTATATGCCATACAATATACTGTACAATGCCTACAATGTTCTCTACGAACTACAAAGTAGTTTTCTCTTAATGCAACTGAGGACTTACTGAAAGTCCATTGCAATCATTGTATGAGATGAATTCCTGCCTTTTGATGTACACGTACAATAAATCTTACGAACGTGTACAAGAGATATATTAATGAATATTTCTTGATGTAATGCCTTTTAACATGACATGGGCGGCTGGGCGCTGCCATTTTCTTTAAAATGTGATGTACCAGGCGGAGTTGTACATTTCTCATGCACCAAGCTTTAATTGAAAGACTTTTTAATTTAATAAAACCTTTACTGTACAATGAGGGTAAATCATAGCCGAGAAGGTAAATTACATTTGGTGAAAAGTATAATAGGGTACCTAACATCATACATGGGAACGGCCCCTTGAACTAGGATAGCTATATAGACAGAAGAGAACGGAAATGTTGTGAGGAGGGCTTTGTCCAACGTCTGGATGAACTATAGCATGATAGAGATAGTAAGCAAATATTAACCGACTACGAGGGTAATGGTACAAACTATCATCGCCAAGGTGATCTCGGGCTACTATCAACCCGAGCCGCATGGCGAGGGATGATGGTACATGTAGCCCCGAGACCACCGAGGCGATGATATTTTGTATCCATTGCCCGAGTAAAGGAGGCTAACATTTGTTTTATATCCCACATCGGCAAAAAGGTCTATTTAAAGTGAATTTTACATAATTAAAAGAACTGATTCTGCAGACAGTTTAGCTTCGGCTAGATTTTACAAAGCGCAACATGCATACATGTAATAAAGTCGATGCACGCTCATTTGCCACATTGACATTGACATTTCGCGTTACGCTTATTCAATGGGCAAGTGGGGCAGCAGCAAAAAATTACTGTACAAAAGTCCTATCGCAGGGAGATAGTTCTTATCTATCATTGATCATGTGACCTCGTTAAGATCGATCAGATTTCAAGATTCTTAGTATGTGGGATATAAATAGATATACATGTAATAATAGGGTAATAATTGTAACTCACTGATTAAAAAATACTATGATATAGTGGTTGAAAAATCTATTTTATTTATGCGAAACCTTCACCCCAGAACAGTACCAACTTAAGCATGCATTATAATCCAAGATGGCGGCCCGCATGTTTTGCCTCTTCTCTTAGACCAATATTATTAATTTCAAAGTCATGAAAAGGCACTAAATATCAACAAACACGGTCTACAACAACTCCAAATGACAAAATAATCCTAGCTATGCATTTTTTTAAAATAGCATTTGATAGCCAAAACCTTGAAAAATGTTGGCATTAAAAAATAAAAAATAAAATGAAAAATAAAAAATTCTGCCAATTTGTTTTCCGATCATTTTTATTGATCGGCGATCAGAAATTATTATCCGATCGCACCTGATCGGCAAATGATCGGCCCCGATCCAATGATCGGTTACAGGCCTACTAAATTCTACGTGTCTCGCTCTTTTCAGGTTGCATCGGCCGTACTTTGGAATAAATTAACAGAAAATCTTTTAAAAAACTGTGATACTGTTGACAATTTTAAGGCGCGTCTTAAAACATTTCTTTTCAAAAATACTTTCAAATGTTAACGGGAGGAAGTATGTTGAGCATATCTCAGTCTTCTTATGTTACTCTATCCACCTTTCCTTCTTACCCTTTCTTACAGCGCATAGATACATATTGTGATATGCGCTATATAAGTACGGTATATGATTCATGAACTTGATGATATAAATGTAAAGTGGACCAGATTTCACTGCATCTTCACTTGATGTATCAATCTCTTCCACCACAAAATCTCTACCACCAGAAATGTGTATAGACTAGACATAGCATCCCCACACCCGATAGTATAACAGCAACAAATTACCTACTTGTTCTATGTGATAAACCTGAATATGAAGACTCATGATGGAAGTATGTAAATATGTCAAAAAACTACTGTCCTCTCCGAAACCAAAGAGACTTTGTATATAGATGGTAATCATAGTCTCAATTCATCATTGTATAGTTGAATAACAGTACTGATTACATGGAAAGGTATAAACACACACAATAAATGCAATTAAATGGATGGAAAGTCTTAATTCTTCCAGATATACATTACATCATGGAATTATAGGGGGTGAAAGTAGCTTGTGAATGGATAGAATTAAAAGACCTCCCATTAAATAACAGGAAGATGTTAGATTGTAATACCCACCTCAACATAAATTAAAATCAGGCTAGTTTTTGTAAATTCATGCACTTTGTAGACTGTAATTACAGTCATTTATCCATCTACTGATTATGGGTCGGAGAGGACATTTTGTTTGACACCTTCAAAATCAGTGTGAATATTAAACAAAATAAACATTATCTATTGCACATGATAAAACAATGTTAGGTCTACTAATAACATAAGGTGGTTTCAAAATGTGGCTCTTCTTGAAGGAGTGCTGATAAAAATGTCACCTTTTCGGAGAGGACACTTTTTGACCCCGCCCCGACAAACAAATTTGAAACGCGCATTTACCAAAAACTGAGTAAGTGTGGGAAATGTTAATATCATAATTTTGTAGGATATTAGTGACTCTTTTCAAGGAGGAAAAAACAATTCATGGAGTGCAGTCTTACTTAAAATTATTACACTGGTTTCGGAGAGGACATTTTTTGACCCCTTTTGCACCTCATTTATGGTGCAAAGTCAAAATTTGTAGATTTGACAAAATCTTACACCCTATTCAGATCTAACATAGACCTGTTGGAAGAGATAATTCTGATAGTTGATAATGTATTTGGGGTACGTATTTCAGATATGCGCATGTTCAAACTTTGCAAAAAATGAAACGAGACAGCGAAAATGTGAAAAAATGGCATATAATTACATATTTTGAAAAGTAGTTGCTTGTTTCAAACAATTTCTTCGCTGTTGTAGGTTGATCTAACGGTACCAAATAGTTGACAAAGGAAGATTTTCCTTTGCTGTTCATTGTTTTTGTTTTAATGGCCATCAAAGTGAGTTTTTCTATTGTGTACCCTGATTGTAAAACAACCCGTAGATTGGCATCTGGTAGGAAGTTCAGAAAATGTAGAAGTGAAAGAAAAATATGATTGGTGTCAGTCTGAGGAGGCAAGGTTATTTCATTCAGATTTTGTAAAAAATCTGTTCTATGAACCATGGCCATCATGTTGTTATACATCATGAATGTAATTTGAAGAAGAAAAAAAGTGAGCACTAAATTTTTTTGGGGGGTCTTCAAAAATTTGAAAAATTGCACCCCCCGCCCCCTTTAAGCATCAGGGGGGGGGGCATCTCCAAAAAAAGGTAAAATTAACATTAAAAAATGTAAAAATACACATTTTTTTTCTGGGGGGGGGGGGGGGGGGGGGGGCTGGCCCCCCGCCCCCCCCCCCCTGGATCCGCCACTGTCATCATCATCAGCAGCAGCAGCAGCATCATCATCATCATCATCATCATCATCATCATCATCATCTGTGTTATCACTAATGCTCCTTTGTGTTCTTGTTTGGTTTCTATGGTAACAGGGACACGCAGCTCTTGGAGGATTGGAGGCAGGAGACGAGGGACATGCAGAGGAAGCATTACATCAGGGCAGTCAAGAACGCTCAGCAAGGTGAGTCAATCATTGTGCAGAGGTAGGTGTGGTGGTTTGAACTAGTTTGAAATGGAAGGTCTCAGATTCAAGCCCCTGCACAGCGCTAAATAATGATCCTTCAACAACCCATTGTCGTAAGGTAAATCAAATTCAATGCATAAGTCTTAAAGTGCCTCATGTTTTTGTGTTCACCTTTAACGAATAATAATATTTCAGTTGTCAGAATAAAAATGTTATAAACTAGTAGAAAAAACACAGACTTTCCATATTTTAATTTTCATCTTTATAATTCATTAATTCCCATTTATGCATAAACTTCATGTCCTAATTACTGCTTTCTCTCGCATTCTTCTCTCTATAAACATTTCCTATCTCTATTTTTTTTCAACACAATGTGTTAGGTCTAGGATGGAAACATGGTAATCTTAAGTTCCTACTCCAGCTGTTTTTGTTTTTTCTTATTAATGAATTATTAACATTTTGTTGCTGTTCTACTGATAACGATTGAATGGTGTTTTTTAACAAAATATTGGAAAACAAGTTTAAACTGACCAGGGGCCTGGTGCGATTATTCCAAACTGATCGCAAGTCATCCAGTCAATCACAAGTTTACAATCTAATCTTTCTTTAGTACACAGTTGCAATTGAGATCAAGTGTCAGTCAAATCAAATTGATCTCAAGTTCTCAATTAATTCAGTGGACCAGTTCATAGTTCATAGTTAGCTTTTGTACATATGATCCCCAAATATTCACAATGAGATTTCCCACTTTGTGCATTTTTTTAAAATTTTGATACAAAGGATCTCTAACCGCCCATGCGACTATTGTATCTACGAGCTGGCTTGTTTGATGGGCCCAGGGCCCCGTTTCATAAAATTTGTTATCAATAACTAGTTACAATAACTGTTATAAGCTACTGAAATCATGGCATTTGATTGGCTGAGAGCAAATTTGCCATTTGCTATTGATAACAAGTTTTATGGTATTATCTTCATACCGGTAGTACCACCCATGGTCTTGACCAAACATTATAGTTGTTGGCGTTAGAGGAAGTCCTAGGCATTAGGTCATTTCTTGTCCCATATGTATGTTACCAAGTATTGTTGAGTACCAAACATAATTTTGCATCAAATGTATCATTACTTCATCTTTGGCCCAATTTAAGCTTTAGAAGGGCTATCGATCAACTCAGTACAGATATTAAAATCTTAGATGTGGGCAGGTAAACATATGTAGGACAGTATATCTTTGATTAACCCATCAGTGTTATAAACATGCATTGATGTAATAATGTATACTGATCAATGCATTACTTTTGAAACTTTGGCAAGGGTCCATGAATGTAGTCTAGCTGATGCAGCTTGTGGTGTATCATGTTCACACTTTGATTCGTTCAAGCAAGTTGTCTTAATTGGGAACTTGAAGCATAACATTAGCCAAGCTATTAAAAAAGCTGAATATCGGCCTTTTTGCTACAGAATAAGATTTGCAGATATTGTTGACATTTATCATGCAAGAGACCCAGCATTTTTATTGATTTGTCATTATTTTCAACAGTAATTTTTCCCCCCGCGTTATACATGTTACTTCACTTTCCTTACCAACATCTCATTATTAAAGTTTGCAAAAGAAGGAGCTTAGATATAGGTTTGTTTATATTAAATGTTTACACAAAATACTCTCACACAATGGAGGTTGAAAGTTGAAAGTTCAGGGTGAAACAAGAATTTGTATTACATCAATGCACCTCTCAAATAAGGGCTCAAAGTTTATCAATCTTAATTCTGTGTTTCCAACATTGAATTGTTGCAGTTGTGGTTGTTCTTTGTTTAATGTTTTTATGAGTGAATAGCAAAACGTGGTTATGAAGTCCTATTGACTGGTATTTGATTTTATCATCTCTCTTTACGGTACTTAAGTCTTTGTATTCTTCTCCGGAATATAATTCTTTGTTTAGATTTGGGAAAGAGCATTGTAATTATTGAATACTTATCAATATGTTAGATAGGTGTTTGGTTTGCATACACGTATCATTCTGTAGCATTGAAAGTCAGTATTATGGTAACATTTCACTTGTTTCTGTGATGATTTTGATGTGATAGAGGGGCCATTCAATTTCAGAACCCCCCCCCCCCCCCCCCTCACTGCCACATTTGATTTCTATTTTTGTTTTATACAAAGTGATATATTTGGTAAAAATAGCTACTTCAGATTTGTTTGTGAAGAATATACTTTTAAAATGATAACAAACAAAATCAAAGTATAGTTATATGAATTGAGTAATTTGCCAACAACTTCAATAAAGGTAAAGAAAATCCTGGACTGCACAAAACTGTTGATGTACATTTAGGTTTTTTCCAATTTGATTTGATATTGAGTGGTTCAATTTTTCTGAGTTTTGGTTATTTATTTTTGTGTTTCTGAGTGTTGTTTAATTACTGCTCTTTGTGATTTTGAGATTTAATTAATGAGTGATATTTGCATACATGTCAGACCAGACTTTTATAATTGCATTGAAATTGGTCGTATTATGTATACAAGTAAAGTTTTTTTGTCTTCACAATTCAGCAAAATTCTTCTTTAAAATTCTAGAGCGCTAAATACTTTATTGTTTTTGTTGAGGAATCTACGGTATGTGTATGAAATCTATCATCATAGTACAGTGTATACAAATAGCAATTTCAAAACTAGCTTTATTTTGATCATCGTCGTCCTACTAAAGATATCGTCATCTAAAGCTATCCGCATGATGTATACTGCGTAGATGTTAAAGAGATACGGTGACAAGATACATCCCTGTTGCACTCCTTGACCTATTGTATACAAGTAGCTGTCTCCACACTCTGTTATAACTGTCTAACTAAATTATTTTGATACAGTTACTTTCATTCTGTTTTTCCCGTCTTTTGATGGTTACTCACCTAAATACAATATTCTTATTTGCTGATTTTTAAGAAAATAAGATTTAAAAGTTTTCGTTTTTGTAACTTTTTCAGGTTTTGTTGTTGATCCTGACCTAAAGATGCCATACGACACACACCCAAATTTCATGAAGATGATGAACAGAGAAGATATGATTAAGGTAGGTAGAAATCAAATGCAAGTTGTCTACTTTTTAAAAACCCCATGATAACCAATAAATCCCATGGGGTTTTTTTTTTGGGGGGGGGGGGGGGAGGGGGGTGGGGGAGTGGGAGACAATAAAGTGTGTTTTTCACTGTATTTTCAGCAAGGAAAGTAAGGTATTATTCTGAACACGGACACATCCTAAGTCATCATATAATGATGAAGCACAACATTTTGTCAAGTCGGTGAATACCAAGCACAAGATTTCTTTGGCTGAGGTCTATGGAAAATGTGTATATATATATATGATTTATAAGAAAATATGAATCTTTTCAAACTGGATGTTACTTCTTGCATTTTAGGTGGAAGTGAAGAACAAGCATGAAGCGATGAAGAATATGATAACACCTGAAGAGCAGAGAAGATTGGATGTTACCAAGTAAGTTTTTCATCTGGGATTGGTGGGGGAAAGAGGTGATCCGACGTTTGTTGGAGCATTATTTTTTCCAAATACAGTTCTCTCTACATATATGTAATTCAAATCTGCGGGGACCGCATCAAATAGTTGACTTATGCAAATTTTGACTTAGGAAGTGTAAATAACGCATAGTTTGATGAACACAATTTATTAGACTAAGGGAAATTTTACTGTATATAGGGGGGTTAGGGGCTTCTGCCTAGGATTATGATTAAGTCTTAGGTTAGGTTTAAGGTTATTCATTTTGTATCCATAAGATACATGTATTTTGTCCTCCATATTCATCAAGAATCTTATAGACTATGTTATTCACTATTATTTCATGCTTTCATATAGCTCAGCAATAATCAGTGATGGTTCTGTTTTGTTGTTAATCATAATTCAAGATTTGATTTAAAAAAACAATTACTTGAAAATATTAGCATTCTTGTAAATTGTTTAATAGTTCAGTTTTATTCAGGCTTAGTTACATGCATATTATAGATGGAAATATACTTGTGTGTGCATACATGTATTATTTGATATTAATCATTAACAAAAGAAAACTATATACCTACTTTTATTTCCATACTTCAAATATCTAAAACTGTTACAACATTTACTGGCACTGTGTATCACGACAATCTAACAATTTTTGCTGATAATTCTGTATTTTTTTTTACTCAGAATGGAGAGAGACAGGCAGCTGATTAGTAAGATTAAAGAACACACCCAGAAAGTACAAGAGAGGAAATCAAGACCAAGGGGAAACCCCCAGATGGAAAAAGACATGGCTCAGAAAGATTTAGTAGAGGTGAGGAAGAAAACTAAAGCCCTGGGACCCATTTCACAAAACTTGTCATCAGTGAAAAATGACAGTTTTTGTTATAAGCAAGTGAAATCCTTGCTTCTGATTGGTTATCAGCAGATTTTTCACTGATTTTTGTCATTTGTCATTGACAAAAGGCTTTGTGAAACGGGTCCCAGGGGCAAAATTTTAAATATATACTATCTCTCATATAAACTGTCAATTCGATTCCCCTCGTTAATGTGCCCTTTAATTAGCATTTGAAATCCATCTTTCTGAAAACTGTATAATTTAAAGGTTTATTTTTTATTATTACCGGTATTCTTATTGTACACATAATGTTGTTATGTACTTCTAGCTAGTGATGTCGAAAGGTGTTCTGATGTGCATATTTTAGATTTCATTCTAGATGAACTGAGGATTTCCAACGAGTTTCAGGCTACATAAGACATACTGTTCAGTTTTCAAACATTGATAGAATTCATATGTTTTTTAAAACTCAAATTTGGTATGCCTGTGATAGTTAGTAATTTAGCCAGGATACCTTAAGCGGTCTTAATGTCCTGTATCTTGGTCTGAAGGAGCTCTGACACCAATAAGTGAAAGATTCCCCCCCCCCCCCCCTCCCCCTCAGGAGGAGAATGTTTGTTAAGATCTCACTGCACTCTTTGTCTAGAGTAACTTGAAGATACTAGTGTAGTGGTACACTGGCTGGCACGTCTCAACCCTTTGTACTGCAAGGAGAGACCCAGCATGTTATAGTACGCTTCTATTCTCCTAAGCAAAGGATACTGTCAAATAATTGTTACTGATAATGACATTGATAATAACACCATCTATGTTTTGTACCTCACCAGTTGCGAGTCTTGGCAAAGCTCACAGTAACCCAGCTAAAACCCCTATGATATGGTAACCAGAACCCTATATGAGTGTTTCGCGTGCTTCTCCAACTTGAAGTTCTGTCATTGTTTGAACTCTACCCCCTATGCTCCATTCTCTTTTCATGTATGTTACCCTGTAAGCCTTGTTCACACGTGGTGCTGTAAACTGTCGAAGAAAAATATATTGTGAAATATATGATATGTGAATGAAGTGCAAGTGGGGGTCAGATAAAAGTATCTGCAAGTACCGATTTTGTGAAATTTCCTTGATAGTTCAAATGCTGAAAAGCTCTCAGATTTGCAGAATTTCCATACAGATCTCATTGTATTCCTCCTGTACAGCAGCTTTTGTATTCCTCCAGTTCCATATATGTGGCAGTTGTTATTTGTTTGCGGTTTTTGAAGTTTCGGTTTGACTTTTGTGGACTTTGTGCTAGTTTTGTTTTTAAGTCTTACCAGAGCTCAAGATGTCATATGAAAAGTAGTGTAATGGAGTTTCAAAGGCTAGTAAAAGAATATTTTGATTTAGTGCACATGCACAAATATGAATATATTTTACTATCAATTATTGCATAAATATACCCAATGCAAGAAAAAGAAAAAGAAACCTTATTATGTAGGTTACCCATGCTTTGACAGAAAGGGTAGTGATTGTCAAAGAGAACATTGCTAGAAGTTGTCTAGAATCTCATCAAACAAGAATTTGCTGTACTCATCATCATCATCATCATCTCCTTCTTCTTCTTCTTCTTCTTCTTCTTCTTCTTCTTCTTCTTCTTCTTCTTCTTCTTCTTCTTGTTCTTGTTCTTGTTCTTCTTCTTCTTGTTTTTCTCCTTGTTCTTGTTCTTGTTCTTCTTGTTCTTGTTCTTGTTCTTGTTCTTGTTCTTGTTCTTCTTCTTGTTCTTCTTCTTGTTCTTCTTGTTCTTGTTCTTGTTCTTGTTCTTCTTCTTGTTCTTCTTCTTCTTCTTCTTCTTCTTCTTCGTCTCCTCCTTCTCTTTCTCCTTCTCCTTCTCCTTTTACTTTTCTCCTCCTTCTTCATCTTCTTCTCCTCCTACACCTTCTTTCACCATCTTTTATCTTCCTATCTCTTCCTTTCTGTCCCTTTATTTTCCTACAATACCACGTATTACAAATAACATGTAGATAAATAGCAATAAAAACAAATGTACATCTTAGTGATATCAAACATTAAAGATGAAGTTGAGTTCTGGTCATGCGATTGCATTGTGAAAGAAACGGTGTGGAACCGACCAGAAAAGGTTGATCATCTAGAATTTGTGTGTATTGCAAGGTTCTGGAATCATCAAAATGATAAGAAATTTGGCCAAGTCTTGGTGAAGTTACAAACACTTGCACAGAAAGATGTATATGGGACTACAAGAACATGTGGCGTAAAAAGCCGCCCCCCCCCCCCCCCCCCCCCGATTTTTACGATGTTACATGCATATTTAGAATATGAAGGCATTTAAAGAGCCATGCTTTTCAGGGAACATGTCTTAACTGATGTTCTTCCACACTTGCATAATAAGAATGAGTAATGCTCACAAATTATTTTTCACCTCTTCCCAGAACTCAACCTTCTCTTTAAGTTGCTTCATGTGTGCCATTAGATGATACTCAAGCTGCTTTCATGTGAATGATGTTCAAACACCAGAAATCACCTGATACAAATGCTTGTAGACATTATGCTAGGCTGTGCTTTTAGGCTGCAGTAGCCATCTGAAGATGGTGTATGAATTGTCCCTTTTCTAGCACAATGTTCTTATGCCCCAATCATGACTGCAATTGAGTTGGTGGTTGGATAATATTTTCTTTGGGGATATGTTTTCTTGTGTGTTCCTACTTCACACACAATTTGTTATGAGAGAAAGAAAAGATAATCTTTTTTTCAGATCTTCAGAACATTTACTTTCTCTCTTTGTCATTGTAATTGTATATTGGAGTTATATCAGGTTTGATTTTGAAGTTTTCTCAGGGAGCACCATGTTCTGTGGGTCACTTTGTACACCAATCCCTTTTCCCACTCTCTACAATACTTTTTATTTTTGGGAGGTTTTGTATATTAAAGTTTTTAATTTCTCTTAAATGAAGTGGTGTTAGGAGGATCTTGTATTTTGTAATTGTTGGTCTGCACATTTATTGTTTCTTCACAATATCTCAAGAAAAACCATTGGTAGAATGCACTTCAAATATAATGTCAGTATGCTTCACCACAGGGATATGAACTGATATAAAAGATTTTTAGGCCATTATGCTTATGGTCACAGAGGTGCAGATGCCGAAAGATGCAGAAAAATATCATCACCATTGAAATTGGTATTACAAAGTTTAACTATTTACTTTTGCCCATTCAATAAAAGTTTACCAAGAGGATCTGTGTCAGAATTTTAACCCAGCATTTTAAACAGCTGCTCAAGTTATGAACTTTAATCTTAATTTCCTTATAAATGTATGTACAAGTAGATGACTTAGTTGGAATTACTTGTAATTATGCAAAGGTAATCTTCCTTTTAAAAAAAATTGAAAATATCTATTTTGGTACCCCTGCATGGTTTAATTTGACAGGCTTTTATTTAATCTCTCTGAATTCATTGTCACTTTCTTCTTCCAGGGCCAAAGGCTTCAGCAGGCTCTACACCATCGTAAAGACGACCTGGAATATCGCTTCAAGGCTTTCACGGGAGACAACGTCCCGTCGATGTCAGTGACGAGCACTTCAGGCTACAGGCCCCAGGCAAAATAAACCATGAATTGATAATAATGAAAATATACTACGATGAATCGCCAACATTCATGATGCGATAGCGCTTTGGATAAGACAACATTTAGACAACCTAAATTGCTTTATCTGAAGACTTCAAGGGCGTAGAAAGATTTGAATAGTAGAGTTTTTGTTGACCTGAATTTTTGCCTTTTAGTTTGCTACATGTAATGTACAGTCTTGTAAAAGCAGAATTTTTACGAAGAAGCAATAAAAAATGTTACTTTGAATGTTAAATCGGCCAACAAGGGTTTAGAAAATTAGACTAAAAAATACTTGTTTTTCCAAAATAATTATACATTTTATTTTTGTGTGTGTCACATCCCCTCCCCTTTTCCATTCAATATCACAAACAAAATTGTCAATTGATGGTAATTGTACTGCCCGTTATATTAAAACCCTGCTCTACATGATAGGTACAAATGCTCATGTGATAATTGAGGCTGACTAATTGCTATCATGAAAATTTGGTGAATTGTTTTGTCTACTAATGTTTTATATGGAAGGAGAACGATTTAGAGAAATTAAAATTTGTAGGGGCAAATTGGAAGGATACACCGTAAATATTTGGTTAAAATTGATAGTTTTATCCAATGAAATTAATATTTTATCGTGCTTACATTTAATCCAGTGTTCAGTTGGTAGCTTGAGCTCCAGTGAAATTGAACGACAAAACTTTAATTTATTAAAGAAGGGTATGACAAGCATTGTATTGATATAAAGCTATAAAATGTAGTTTTTATTTTTCATCTTGCCTAAAAACATATACTGGTAGTTTTTTAGAGTATTAAAAAAAGCTGGTTTAATAGTACAAATGCAAGTTCATTATACAGAAAATTAGCATCTTTTCTCAAATAGATGTCATTGCCAGCAGTGATGTTGTTTGAAATTGTTAAATAAAAGATGCATATTTTTTGGCCAAGCAGAATTCTGTTATGGGTTGTCTCACAACATTTCGCAAGGACATCAGTACTTGGGTTAGGACGGCTGCACATATACTTTTAATTTGATATCTTTTAAATGTCTGTAAAATGGTTACATAGGTCTGTTAAATCTATTAACGTTATAAGATATTATAACCTGTAAGAGTTCAACTTTTCTTTTTTTATAAAATAATGAAAAGTCCAGGGTATTTATGTGTAATCGTACTAATATTTGGATTGTGTGTGTGCTTTAAACCTTGAATAGAGCTCAGTATTTACCTTATTTATGATTTGAATTATTGTAACTAATGTTTGTGAGAAATGAATAGAATTATTAATAGATTATTTGCAGGATTGATTGCAAAGGCATCGAATGATGTGTGTCTTATATTTAAATTACTTTTATGTATTCATCCAAGAAGAAAAAGAAATCTACAGAATTGTTTGGAATAATGCAGATATATACATGTAGATAGGAATCGTCCAAGTTTCATCAGGTAACAGATTATAGAAAGTATTCAGAAACTTGCCAAGATAGCCAGTGTCTATTTACAAATTATATTGTTTGTGGCTTTGGTTGCTGTCTGTGCTTTCTAGTAGTGTCTACAAATCTATGGCAATCTAATGTGGATCAAATGCTTCTCATATTAGAGTAGAGAGCTATATGTAATAGTAAAATATAAACATTCTAGCAGTAGAAATTAAGGTGCCGTCCATTTTATAAATTGATAATTGTTAAGTATATGCCAAACGTACAAGCAAACTTCTTAGATCTTAGACTCGTTATAAAATGTATATCTCTTGTACTACCTCCTGTAGATTTATAGCGCCCTCTGGGGCAATAACCCTACATTTCTCTAGATAATACTTGTCCCTGGAGGAAGAAGTGATTGTCTGGTTAGTAGGTGCCAGTTATCCAGAGTCTAGACATGCCTGATATTCTAAAGTTTGATGTTCAGTACCTTTTCTGCTGCATCAAATCATTTCATTTTATGTGCCATTTGCTACTTTCATGTATATATAATTGTAAATAAATTATAGAGAAACATAGAATTATGTGTTAGAACAGAGTTTTTATTCTGTATCAAGCAGATAACAAAATTCATTGTCAAGAAAAATTACAAAATACCAACATTTCCACAAGAAACTAGCAGCACACTTGCAGTAAATATTTTCAAATCCATTGCAGGTTTCTTAAAGTATACTTCTTTATGGAAATATGTTATGGATTTAGGGAGAAATGAATGTCAACGATGTAGAAGATTGGGCAATTAAAAGCATCAGATTGATTAAATCAATTATAAAGAATTTCTTGAATAGACAACTGTTATGTACAAACTGACTCCTTGAGATCAGAAGATTAATACTACCTGTGCATACATGTAAATGGATCTTCTCCAAAATTGGAGCACTGCAACATAAAACTTTTTGACATCTGACGGACAATGTTCAAGTACAAAAAACATACATCATATTAGTTGTAAAAACCTGTTTGTAAAAGTCACTTTTACATACTGGTATCCAAAACATTGCACCAGTGTACGTAAAAAAATGCAAGGCAAAATTAAACAGCAATGAAAAACAATTTGATTTTCATCAACAGGAAATCATTTTATGCTTTCATGTTTGCTTGTTATCAACATTATTCTTTACGCATTGAAATGATGTAAACCTACAAAATGTCAATTATTCTGCAACTACAATTTGTCAAACAAAATATTCTGAAAGTATTATTTCATGATATTTTGGTGTGACAAGAATAAATCAAGATATTATCAAAATGATGATGCACATGTATGTCCACCCCCTCCACATTCCAATGTCCAATACACACACCATCTAAAAATTTAAAATTATGAAATTGACTTTTCAATAGAAGCAATTCATAGTTCAAACAAGATTTAAAATCCTCAAAATCATTATTAGAACTGAATCAATATTGCAATATCTCAAATCTCATGCACAGTCACAGATTACAGTTCTAAATCCATAGTCCAAGACTCCACAGTATGCTGTCGAAAATCGGCAGGTGCGTAATGCTCAGTGTACAAATAACTTTTTAATCCCTAAAGATCCTCTTTCTCTGAAATACACATACATATACATATACTTGTGACTGATTCAATAGCATTTCAATAGTTCTCTTTTTTTTCTTGATCAAAACCTTTTCCATGTTTACCAGAGCTTTTTGGTATCATTCCAGAGCTAATTGACTCTCCACTCCTATGTACTTTTATCACAGCTAGTGATGTTGAAAAGGCCCATATTTACCCAAGGGAGGATATGCTACAATCTAAGGTTTCTAACCATGGTGTACACCTCAACCGTGGACTGAAATATGGTAAAAATTAAAACCTTGTAAAAACGAACCCCTTGGGACCAAGGAAATTACCCATTTATATCAGGGTTAAAAAATAAATGATGCAAAGAAGTGGTACCTCCCAAAATGCCTCGTAAATATCAAACAAGTTTGTTGAAACATTTTTCTTGAAAGTGAGATTTAAACATATACATTGCTTGTTCAATGAACAAGATGTCATAAGCGTGCAAACCTTAGAGATTTAAATGGTGGTTTAAAATGAAGTCTTTCATGAATTCCAGCCTTTAGTTTCACTGAGATTCTTCTGGTGTGATGGTCAGTTTCATTGTCTCCTTGCCTCTGACCGCTGTCACCTTGAGGCTTTCTTTGGCCTGGACCCGGTCATAGAGTTCCTGGGAAGACTTGATCGGCTGGTCGTTGATGTGGGTAATGATGTCGCCAGCTTTCAATCCGGCACTGTATGGTGAGATGCAACAACGAGGATTAAAAACAATAATTAACACAATTGTCCAACAAGTAAGAACCCAGCACAATTTCTAACAAAAGATTAAAATGATGCAATCACTAAAATCTGGCAAGCTCATCGTGTGTAATACAACTAGATGGAATTTTGACTGCGCGCAGTCGAAAATGATGCCTCCGCCATAGAGCAATTTAAACAAGTTTGGAGTTTAAATCTCCAGTGGTTCTTGAGATATCATGATAACAATCTCAATGTATGGAAGTTCATAAGTTGACCTCTGTGACCCTTGACCTTTGACCTACGTGCTCCAAAATCTAATCAGATTGTCTTCCTATGGTGATACACACTATCATTAAGTTTGAAGTTTAAATCTCCAGTGGTTCTTGAGATATTATGATATGGTGATACATACTATCATTAAGTTTGAAGTGAAAATTCTCCAGTGGTTCTTGAGATATCGCGATAACGATCTCAATGTATGGAATTTCATAAGTTGACCTCTGTGACCCTTGACCTTTGACCTACGTGCTCCAAAATCTAATCAGATTGTCTTCCTATGGTGATACACACTATCATTAAGTTTGAAGTTTAAATCTCCAGTGGTTCTTGAGATATTATGATAACAATCTCAATGTATGGAATTTCATAAGTTGACCTCTGTGACCCTTGACCTTTGACCTACGTGCTCCAAAATCTAATCAGATCGTCTTCCTATGGTGATACATACTATCCTTAAGTTTTAAGTTTTTACATCTCCAGTGGTTCTTGAGATATCATGATAACAATCTCAATGTATGGAATTTCATAAGTTGACCTCTATGACCCTTGACCTTTGACCTACGTGCTCCAAAATGTAATCAGATTGTTTTCCTATAGTGATACACACTATCACTAAGTTTGAAGTTTAAATCTCCAGTGGTTCTTGAGATATCATGATAACAATCTCAATGTATGGAATTTAATAAGTTGACCTCTGTGACCCTTGACCTTTGACATACGTGCTCCAAAATCTAATCAGATCGTCTTCTTATGGTGATACATACTATCCTTAAGTTTGAAGTTTAAATCTCAAATGGTTCTTGAGATATCGCGCTAACAAACTCAATACAAGGAATTTCATAAGTTGACCTCTGTGACCTGTGACCTTTGACCTACGTACTCCAAAATCTAATCAGATCGTCTTCCTATGGTGATAAATACTATTCCCGAGTCTTAAGTTTAAATCTTAAATGGTTCTTGAGATATTGTGATAACGGTCAAACGGGACGGACGTACGGACGTACGGACAGACAACCCGAAAACATGATGCCTCCGGCACCACCTTCGGTGGCGGAGGCATAAAAAATAATTATAATTTGGCCAATGAGCTCCAAATGATTTCTGAACATAAAAACAGTTATAAATTAATTGATTTGATAGCCTAAACATTGTGTGCTTGTTGAGTAAAAAGCACTTACATATGATATTAATACTCTAGTGAGCATCTCACAACAACTATGTTTTGTCACTGATACTATCCCAACTATCAAATCTCTCATCTCTCATCGCCAGAAGAGTTTGAAAGAGAGGAGGAGAGTGGTTGTTAAAGTGACTCAGTAATATTGTCTCAGATTCTGAAACAAAATCCTGGATTTAGCTCATGCTGCAATGATAATTATAAACCTCTAGGTCAGTTAGGAACCCCATGACGTTTACAAGCCGATCGCCTGTCTGATTATCAAGATATTAATGATTGGAAATCGAAATCAAATTTTCTGTCTTCCTAACGGTTTTTATAACACTACAGTCTATTGGGGAAAATGAGTATGGTAAAACTGGTCACTCAAATATTTTTACTTTTTGAGACACTTTGAAGCGCAATTTTTTAGGGCTTTAATATTACACCATATCACAGACACCGATAACACGTAGGGCCATGCATCTCAGATTCAACATTGTTCTTCTTCTTATCGAGTCACTACACAAGTCCCGTCCAGTGGTCCACACAGGCTTTGGCACGGCAATTCACGGCTTCCGGGTCATCTTGGGTGCATGGCTCTGGCAGGAGTGGGCAGACTAGCAGGTGTTCCATTGTCTGTTCCTGGCCGCATTCACATGCCGTTTGTTCGTCTCCTAGACCCCACCTCTGCATTAGGACTCTGCATCGACCGTAGCCAGTTCTTAGGCGGTCGAGGCTAAGCCAGGTAGGCCAAGTCTCACTGGAGCCGGTTGCGAGGGATTCCTTCGGGCTGAGGGAGAGTTTATGTGGAGTGGTCTGAAGGTGGTTAGACCACAAAGTCATCCTTTGGGCTAGTATTAAGAGGCTCTACAGAGTGCAGAAAGCTGTGTCTGGATTTGAGCCGCTTGCCCACTGGCTGTTGTTCGAAGAGTGGGTGGAGTGGATTGTTTTCAATGCCTTTAAAAGAAAAATTTGCAAACCAATGCAATACTTACACTTGTGCTGGAGACTCCATGGTGATCCTGTAGATAAGCACACCATGGCTGACATTGGGGAAGTCTGGCGCCCTCTGTCGGAGGTCAAAGATGAGGCTAGGGGTCAGGGAGAGCATCGTGATACCAATGTACCCCTGCTTTCCTGCTTTAGAGGGTGTGGTTAGCACTGGACCTTGTGGCCCCGATTTGCCGAACCATCCTCCTCCAGATGCTGTTAGTACAAAAAATACTCACAATTACATTTTTTAAAATTCTATTTCACAATAGTTTAAAAGTTTTTCAAGTGCAATATTCCTATTGTCTGACAGTCATGAAGAGTTAAACATTTCCCTGGGATAAAGGTTGGTGAAAGGGGGGGGGGCCGAATATACAAACTTTTGAAAAGTATTAACTGAAAGTTGAGATGAAGCTACGGCCCTCAGCAAGCCCCTCAGCAAATAGTACTATTGGAGTCACCTCTTGCCCATAGTTTCAACCAGAACCTCTCAAGACAATGTATATTTGTATAATATTCTGCCAATATTTTCATATGTTGTTTTGTAAGAACATTTAATCAAAATAAAACTTGCACACAGGGGAACAAAAATGAAAATTGATGTACTATACAGAAGTAGATTGACACTGCAGTTGAAAATGCCCATTTTGAATTGCATTTTAAATTCATACTGCATTTAGAATTGCCATTTCTCCACAGAGACAACAGAACTTAAGTAACGCCTGGCTGGAATGCTCCCCAGGGAGTGGAGATTGTGCACACATTGTGTACGGGCAAGCACTGAATCCAATGACCGGGGTAATAGTATATCTGTAAAGCGCTTAGAGACGTCCAAGATGTATTAAGCGCTATATAAAAGCTGAATATTATATTTTTATTAACTCACCTTTCATCTGCTTCTGAACTTTATCCACAAAGTCCCTGGCACAGTCGATAGGGATGGCGAAGGAGATTCCAGTAGTGACTCTCATGGTGTTGATACCAATGGCTTCACCATCAAGGTTTACCAGTGGTCCTCCGGAATTACCCACCTAGGAGAGAAGGAATAAAGTTGTAAATAATGTCAGCCAATTAATGGTACTTTAATAGCAAGTTAGCAGTAATGTCAAATGGTTATGTACAAGAGTCAGGGCAACAGAAATGGGGAAATACTCCCTTTATTTCTTCAAAATATGGGAAAAGGCAACAACTACATTCTGGGACCCGTTTCACAAAGCCTTTTTTCAATGACAAATAACAAAAATTTAGTGACAAATCTGTTGATAACCAATCAGAAACAAGGATTTCAGTAGCTTATAACAAAAACTGTCATCTGTCACTGATGACAAGTTTTGTGAAACGCCCCCCTGGTTTTTGCATTTAGTATGGCACTAAAAGGAGTCCAAGAATTACCAACCTATTAAAAAATGAACAGAAGTTTGAATAAAGTCAGCCAATATATTTTTTAAAGAAAGATGTATTCAGTGATTATGAACAGCAGTCCAGATAATAAAGAGGGGGGGAAATGTGTCCTAAATCTTTCCGAATGCAAGAGAAGGCAACAGCATTTGCTGAGGCTCGTCCATTTAAAGGGAGCCCCCTACTGGGATGAAACATAATTTAACTTGAATGAACTACTAACCCATCACATCAAATTATAATAAATTGCAATAGAGAGAAGATTAAACACACATGCAAAATCTCTAAGTTGGACTTAACAATTATGGAAAGCCGTTAGCATCTATGAAAATATTTTGTAAAAGTTATTTTAAAAGGCATAAAATGTTGATTCAAATCATTCATTTTTTCTTTTATCAAGGAGATTTATGTTCTTGATGTAGAATTTATAAAAAGTCTAAAATACTTGACTTTTCTCTTTTGAATATATTTTATTTTAAGGCTACAAATGGCTCTCCATAATCTTTAAAGGTAAAGACCAGTATTGGAAGCACCCCAATTTCAAAACATGAAATGGAAGCTCTTATTACCAATCATGTGAAAGAATATGTTTTGAATAATACATGATGATAAAAATGTTGACGGGAAACCACCAACTAATTGATATATTTGGTAAATTAGTGTATCTCTCGCCTGTTCAGAGATACAAGTGCATGTGTCGCGCACACGTGTGTAGTCCCATATACATCTTTCTGTGTACAGTGATTCTAACTTTATGAAGACTTGGCCAAATTTCTTATCATTTTGATGATTCCAGAACCTTGCAGTACATCTATGCTAGATGATCAACCTTTTCTAATCGATTTCACAATGTTTCTTTCACAATGCAATCGCATGACCATAACTGGTCTCTATCTTTAAGTCCAACTTAGAGTTAAGTTCGACTTATGATCTTTGTGAAACACCCCCCTGGGCAAGAGTACAGTATTCAATCAGGTACAGAGAACCAAGTGCACTTCCACTCACATTGATGGCAGCATCCGTCTGTATGTAGTCGATGCTTTTATTGAGACCAAGCTCCTTGCTCGTCCGGCTCACAGTACTGATGATGCCAGCCGTGATGGTGTTGCTAAGCGACAGAGGACTCCCCATGGCAATGACCCATTCCCCTGGTCGAGCAGCCGATGAGTTTCCCATCCTCATCACAGGAAGCGGATCCTGTATAAAAGTTAAATTATTCAACAAAATCAATATACAAAGCAAAAAACACAAATAGGAATACAAAATTAATTGTAATGATGCCCCTAAAAGCCAAGGCTTGATAAACTGGATTACCCAATATATATAATATACAAGTATAGAGAATTATACAACAACAAAAAAAATATCACACACAACATTACACACTAAACTACAGGAAAACAGAAGGAAGAAACAAAGGAAACTGAGAAAGAAAGTTAGAGAGGGGAGAAATGTACCGTAAATCTCTGTGTATAAGGCGCACCCCTATTTGGGGGGCAAAAAAAAAAAAAAAAAGTTTGTTCGCGGGGAAGGACCTTCATTTAACATCGAGGTGCAGTTGAAGGCGCTGATATGTGCTTGTGAACTTGTCACAAATAATAGTAACAATGTCGTTTTTAGAAGAATGTGTAAGATCATTAATTAAAAACAATAGAGTACCTAGGATAGAACCTTGTGGTAAACCATTTGTTATAGAAAAAAAATTGAGGAATTATTATTATAAACTACATATTGAGATCTATTAGAAAGATTACTTTCAAACCAAGATGACAGACAAATTTGAGTGTTGTTGTAGTTTCCGAGTGGTGAGTCAACACACTGATTACTGAGCTGGGAGACATTGTCAGGCATAGCGCCATAGATCGAAACTAAAAAAAAAATTAAAAATAAAAAAAAACCAGACTTTCTTTTTTTTTTGGCGGCAAAAAAGTGTGCCTTATACACAGAGATTTACGGTAAGTGTTTATTTGGCATAACTAATTATTATTGAACGTTTGAGTTTCGTTCTTAATGAAGTAACATTTAAATTATAGAAGGGATGCATAACTATTAAAGGTGTATCAGTTGTTTGATGCTTTTTTCCTTGATCAATCAAAATTAAACAAAATAGATAAACAAACTTGGGCAAGTCTTTAGTAATTTTGTAACTCATATGTTACCAAAAAGAATGCATTACTAAACACGATTAACATTGAGAGTATGATTTCCATGGCAGTTCGTGTGGCCCAAGTCTATGATAGGAATATCATGAAATTTCAGATGTCACATCCTAAGTAAAAAGAAAAAATTCCCCTGGATCAGTGATTTTAATTGCTCTGGAAATGTAAAAACAGCTCTGGAAAACTAAAGAAGAGCTCTGATAAAAAAAAAAGCACTGCACTGAATTCTCACTTATCGGCCCACCTTTGTATCTATTTTCAGCAGCGCCAGGTCCGAAACAGGGTCAACGGCGACGACCTTGCCGTCTACTAGCCGACCATCATAGAGTTTGACCTTGACAGACTGCTTGCCCAGCCTCTTATTGGCTACCACATGGGCATTGGTCAAGATGAGACCGTCTGGACTGACGATGAACCCCGATCCATTGGAGATTGGGCCAACAACGCCTCGCTGGTATGGATGCCTAAAAATGTGAAAAAAATAAAGAGTTGTTGCCACAGCTGAAATATTGTCTGGGTGACATGGGTGCGTCAAGCAGAATTTAAGACTAGTTACCACTTTTCTTTCTGTAAGAACTACCGGTAAGAAGTCTGTTAACGACACTTGATTTCTTTAGAGTTTAGAATTGACTTCTAATTTGTAATCAGCAATTCGTTTAAATTGTACTGTCCGTCTCCGATCTCATCCTTTAGGAAGTAAATTCCACATTAATTTTTGATTTGCCTGAAAATTTTAAAGCCTTTGATTGTACATCTACCGGTATGTACAGAATAACTTTCCCCTTTCACTTCATTATTATCATCATCATCACCATTATTATTATTTTTAATCTACAATTATTTATTATTACTTATTTATTCATTATTATAATATTAATGACATTTAACTTCACTTCTTAATCATCGCTCAAAAATCAGAGTATCAGACACTCAATCCTTTGTGATTGTAAAGATAGCCCATTAATTTATACCTTCCATGAATCTCAATAAATACAACTGATGGGGAAGCTTTGGCAACAGCATCTGCGATGAAATTGAACTGTTGAGATCTTGGCGTCACATAACCAGTTCCGAAATCTGTCACGTCTGCGGCTTTGACAACGGGCAAAATTCCCCTTGATGGCGGGAATGATTCTTGATAGTTTAGAGAAGGTTCTCCATAAGAAATACCAGTATTTTCAACTTCACTTTGTTCTGCAGCTAAACGACGTCTCTTTTTGTCCCGTCTGGATTCAAACTTTGCTCCTTTCAATTGTCTTGCCCATGGAGATATCACGTACAAAAACACACCAAATCCGACAAACTGTGCAACCCTCTTGAAGAAGATTTTCTGATTTTCATGCATTTGGTTTTGAGTTATAGTTCTTGATATTACCACTTGAGTGCTCTGAGGGTTCACGGTGGGAGAATATCGCCATAAAAGAGGCGTATTTGAGCGAATTAATCGCGAGAGTTTGAGACTCTGTCTGAACATGGAGGCAGCCATCTTGACAAACGACCTCTCTCGTCGTCTTGACAATCAAATATACTGCTGTGCTGTGCCTGTACTGTGGATGTAATGAAGCGTTCGAAATCTTTATCTAAATTCTTCTGAGCATTTAATATGAGCAGAATAACGAACTTATGAGAAATTTTCAAGAATATTCAAATGAAAATCGGTGGAAAATGTATTGAGATACAGACGATGCAACACGAAATGACTAACGCGTAAAACTTGTTGCAACATGCAATCTAGGTCCATGATGAAATTTACGGCGGAGTCGAGTGACTCATAGGGGAATGCCCTGATAAGACGTGGTGACGCACTCTTTTCACGATGGAGTGTGACCACGCCCATTTTATGACTAAATTTTTTATAAATGTACTGTTTCATTTTTACTTTTTTAACCATATTATCAATCTCGCTAAAATGTATCATTGTAAAAGGCATTGGTTATTGTCACCCCTCACTGTCTCACACGAGTGCTGTCGTCATATCGAGCTCTATAGGAGTCGGTAAAATATAAAACATATTCAATTCTATATTTATAAAACATAATCAATTCATTTAAAGTCTCATCTCCCTGTTAAAACCATATTATTATATACATACATATATTCAATAGATAATGTTGTTGTTGTTTTTCCTTTTTTTTTATATTCTACTTAAAGATTTGTATATTAAGTTGTAAAAAGTACTACGAGTAATTCCCTGTATTATATTCCAAAAGGTAGTACGCTAATCTTTGTCATTCCAAGTTATTGTAGTCATTACTTTTACACTCAATTATCTATGTTACACCAGGAAGGTGAGACTATAAATTTGTTATCCAATGTTCAAAAAAGAAATTAAGCATGATCCTATTTGTTTGGATTTTAATCAATACAATTCATTGAATCGAATTGAATTATGTGCCTTAGGTCCAATAAGCATACAAACTGAGCATCGGACGAAGCCCCACCCCAAGTGCAGGCCTAGACCCTATAGAAGGAAAACAAATATTAAATATTATATTGTTGCTTTTACTCTGTTAATTTTTCAGAAATAACAATAAAAACAGAAAGAAAAAAAGAAAATAAGAAGGAAAACAAACACAATCGCAAAGACTTTCAAGAAATTAATTAAAGGGCAAATTTCAATAGCATTTATTGTATTGCTTATGATGTAATCCAGGCATTATGTAGCTGCATGCGATCATGATACTTTTCAAGTTTCAAAGAGTGATTGACAAGACATTTTAAAGAGTGCCTTAGCTAGGTTAATTAATTCTTCTAATTTCTTTCCTATCTAACTTGAAATGTATAATTCAATTCAATTCAATTCAATTCAATTTCGGTTTATTAATATCAACATATACAATGCAGTAGTCCAGGGACCAATAATGCAATGTTTACATAAAATGTGCATAAAAACAGGAATGATCATATATGTACAATAAAAATGATAAAAGATAAAGTTAAAATTATTGCTCATACCTAAAGTTATATACATATATAAATAAATGATAATAGATGGATGATAATAAATGTTGAACCAGTTATTGCAAGTACAAATAATTTTTAAATTTAACAGTTATTTAAAAAAAATATATATACATAATAATAGAGGGAGAGAGAGAGAGAGAGAGAGGAAATTATTATATTGCAATTGTTAACATGAGATCCATAGACTGAAAAATTATACATGCAGGTGTGTCTGTTGTGTGACAGGTAAGGTCAAATTATGTTGAATATAATTATTACATTAAGAATATATCATTAAAGCATTTCATATAAAGTGATGTATAGTGCCCATGAGCATACACAAATTCTCATAATTGTTGAGTTTCCACATTAAATTTTAAATTGGAGTTGAGTTACAATCATGTTATTGCAGCAGAATTATACACGGTGGTTTAAGAACAACTTCATAAGAAAAATGAAGAGCACTCAATAAAATGTGCACGGAATTTTGAATTTTGGATCGATCTTGAGTTGAATTAAACAAAGTAACAAAACAATAACTCCAATATTATTAAAAAAGAGAAGAAAAACAAATATGATATATTACTATAGATGATCTACAACTGCAAAGACTTATTGTAACACTTTTGTTGGCGTTCAATGGTTCTTTCAAGTAAATCCCTTTTATGACATGACATATATTTAAGAGGACATATTATTTTCTGCTGTATACAGACACAAACACGGCAGCTCAATTTTATACCAATCACCGATTAGTAACATACTGGTATTCGGTATGACATAGCCAAGGGAGAGGGAATCCCCCCCCCCCCCCCCTCCATACACGTAGCTTGTTCCCTCCCTTTGAAAGCACCCAAAAGGACTGCCAAAATTTATAAACCCAGTTTCGCGAACTTTGCCTTGGAGAACCCCCTTAATCAATTTTCTATGATATTCAAGATATGTTATAACCCCCTTTTTTAATTTCTCAGGAGTCTAAAGAGAGCGAAAAAAACACACCTCTTTTTTAAAGAAATCTCTGGGTGAAAATCAAATACAAACTTTTTTATGTTTGAACTAAAAGTTGTATTATCTTATGTATTATGTATTATCTCTTATGATACAAAGGGATTACGTGCATGAATTTGATGTCAGTTATCAGTAAATATATTTACTTGGGCGCACCACCTACCCTCCTACTGTAAACAGATTGTTATGTTGGAGAGGATTTGGGACTTTGATCCCCTCTGCTCCCCCCCCCCCGCCTCCCCTCCCAAGCATTGATAGGTATAGAAGGGTTAGGGGAGGGGTCATGATTGTATGCAATTGAATGCTGTCAAAGAATACGATTCGTAATATGTTTTTAATATTATTATATAGTGCCTTATTTTGTTGGAGGATTTAACAAAATCCCCGTTTCTCCCACAAGACTCAAAATAGAAAAGGAAAAGGAGATCGAGAGGGAGGCTATGACGTGACGCATACACTCTATCTTTTATACAGATATATTATATCAGGCAAATTATGAGAAAATTGTTATATGATCATGGTACCTGAAATTTCCCTTTATTCTAATATCATAGTTAAAAGAGAGAGGACTGCAGCCCCACCATCTCCGTCCTCGTTATGTCGAGATGCTCTCGGTCGACTGGTCAAGATGATATGCCCTCATAATTATGCCTAACATTCTGGAGGCTTTTTTTTTTCAGGACAAGGAAAGTGTTTACCGCGATAAAGCACATACATGCACAGCGACCTCTAGAGTATAGAGGTAAAGAGGTAAAGTTTCTACTTTTCACAGCTTTTTTAAACTCGTGAAATATAGGCTGTACTATCACGGAAAATACTCAGTTTTAATCAAAATCTCACACTGTTTGATGTATTAACTTAGTTGTCATTTGCAATGGAAGCATGATATGGATAATATAATGATGAAGAGAATGAGAATGAGTGAAATTATTTATTATTTTGACCTAAACAGTGGCTAATCTTTGGTCCAGAATAGATATTTGGGGGTGGGGGCATTGGATTAAAAAAAAATTAATGGATGACATAATCCAGTGATTTTTTTTCTCCGGGGGGGGGGGGGGGGGGGGGGAGGGGGGAGGGGGGAGGGGGGAGGGGGTACAGAATTCCAATGGGACCCTGAGATATTGAAATCGGAATTTTAACCCAAATTTTCAACATGAGGAACTTAGATAGACCCGTGTTCCCCCATGAATATGCTCCCCTATTTTGAGAAATAGAGATATGGATATAGAAAGAAGATTGAAAATAGACCTGGATGTGCATTTTCAAGTAGACTTGGTAAGCCCCAATAAGGAGCAATAATGGATACGCAGAGTAAAGTATATAATTAGTAGGCCTATATAACTCAACTTCTCATTTGCAGGGGGGGGGGGGAACTCGTGCCTCGAAACCCATATCCATAATTAGAGGTCATTTGGGGTCCTTTTTATCGTAAAAAGACCCATTTTTCAAAAAAAATTGGGTGTTTTTCCGAAAAAAAAATGCAAATTTGGGAAGTTTTGAAAAAACGAACCAATTCTTAATGGTATTTTTGTTAAAAGTGGGACCCATGTTTAGGGACTTTTTGTGAAAAAGTTACCCATTAGAGCGGCACACCCCTGTATGTCTTAATATCTGAGTCCCCCCCCCCCCCCCCCGGCTCATATTATGTGACCCCTCCCTCTCCCCCCACCCCCCCCCCCCCCCGGTCCCCGCCCTAAATCATGATCAGTTTATTCCAGTGAATCATATAAAATGAAATGACTGAATATTTTAACAATACAGTCTGCAACACTACAAGACTAAAGAGGAGGAAAATAATAAGTTTCTTAAAAACATTAAAAAAACATATTGCTGCGGTTTCTCACGGCATACCACTTTTCATGGCATACTGTTTCGTACTCCTCCGCGCTGCCTTTGTAAACAATCTCCTCCAGCTAGCTAGCTTGCATGCTATAGCTATGCACGCACAAACTACACACACATATGCACAACGTATCGTAAGTATGCAAGTCGCATTGTATTCACACACATGCCCCACAACCAGCCTACCGATATTATCAAGTCGTGAAAGGCCGACAGAATCTTTCTAATTTCGAGCTGCACAGAACTGGTACTTTCTAAGAGTCAATTTCAACTACTATTTCAGTTGATGATTAATGTTTAGCTGTACGTGATGATAGTTATTTTGGTGTGAGAAAGGGAGAAAACGACAGTTTTAGGACTTGGGAGTTGAATGTTGACTCGCGGATTCCGTAAGGTGAGAAGCGTACGATCGCCTGAGGATCAAGCCGCAGCGCAGGGGCAAGGCTGAACGATTTACTGCTCTGTTGAAGAGCACTGCCACTGGCTGTGCACATCACCTTTGACTGTTTTGTGTGCGAAACATCTTTAATCTTATTTTGTATCATCTTTAATTTGTTCATCTACAGAAACACCTTATGACAGTGGGTTGTTGTTCTAAACCAAATCATCTGCCTGGTCTTCAAATCAAACCACGTTTTTGAGCTGAAAATGGAGCCAAAATTGATTTCCAGACTGCACGATGGCTTCCAATTTCAAGCACTTGTTGGATGTGTGGCATTTTTGTTCTCTGTCTGTGAATAGAACTGGATTGGGGATTGTTCAGAGCGAAAAGTGAAGGATTGGGACACAAAAATCAATAACTAGGAAGTAACTTTATCACCTTATTTGGAAGAATATAGATGTCATCATGTTATCGAAGAGAGTCTGCAGGTTACTCATCTGTGTTGTTTTACTGGGAACACTGGCAAAGCAAAGCAGGGCATGTCCATCGAACTGCAACTGTGATGTGAGGGAGAAGGGCCGTGGAAAGTGGGGAGGGGAAAGAGGAGGTAGCAAGGCCAGACGCGTGTTGGAGTGTACTGGTCGCAGTCTTACAAGACCTATACCAGTTAATGCAATCCCTGAAGATACAGTGTTATTGTAAGTTACTAAGTATAACTTTTATTCATCGGGAATTAAGGTCTACATATATTTGAGTAGTAGCGGTAGAGAATCATTAACAAGCAGAACAATCTAACAATTTTAGATCTTTAGAAGAGATATTAATTTGATAATTTGATTTTGAGAGAATTCTCTTAAAGTTGATACTCTAAGCAAATAAATGTCCCTTAATTTGTTACCTACGGCAAGTATATGTTATTTTTAAGTTTTTCAATTACTTAGTATATCACAAAAAAATTCTGTCTACTCGAAATCCTCAATTGAAATGTCTAAAATATCCGCCTCTCTTTGCATAGAAAATCAGTCACGACGCTGGTCTAGTATTTATGACCTCACGTCCGGGAGAGAGTATATTCACGTACCCGGATGTTCCATAGCAAACATGTGCAGAGTGATACGATTTTCTGCATATTTTTGTTTCAAAGGCTGAAAAGTCTAATAAATCATAATTCTATGTACAATTCTTTACCTTCCCCTAGTACTTCATAGTATTAATATCAATTCCCCTTTTAAAAATTATGACATATACATGCCAACGATGTGCTATTAGTCGATATTTTCACCATGTAATTTTTGTTTTGGTGTTGAAATCGGCCCAGGCACGGAGTGAACAGTAGCTACCCATGCACAGTTCATTACCATACACTACAGCGATCTCCCGATGGTTTCTTCTTCCTTTTTCCCATGTCTTTCGCCTTCCTTGGCCCTGAACATCCTTCATCTACCAATTCTGACACCGGTAGTCAGGAGCAAGTCTTTGTTAGTTGTTTTTCTTAGCTGGCAACGTCGCTTTCATTCTCTTGCAATTGCCGATAAACATTATAACTAGCGCACGTACGTTCCATCACAAGCAAGCAGCGCCTAGAGCAGCGGCTTGGTCTTACCTTTCGATTCTGCTCGCTCCACGAACGTTCATGCAAGAGCCGCATCACTCGCCAAAATATTATAGAGGAAGCGCGCTTGCATGATCTCGTTCAAGTTTGATATTTTACAACATAAAATGTTTAACTGGTACTGTATCCTTTTTTGAGGCAGTCACACACATCTATGATAAGTACTATCATAGTTCTAGACCTATTCGTTTTACAAAACTGCTCATGTACATCTGATGACAATATAATGCATCCGCCTATTCATAAGTGCACGATTTAACTTTAATTCCTAAGCAGTAAACTCGTCTTAAATCTCTACGAAATAGGTGAATATGAGGATATAAAAATAAATCAGCGACTGGAAAATGTTGCTTCGTTATTCTTCATTCAAATGAAAACAGACAATCCATCAAATATACTCCTTAACAACAACAAATCTAAGCTCTGACAGGATAGCATTTACGTAGGGATATCACTGCCATTCACTCTCACTGAGCCCATGACTCCCGTTCGTGACGTCACGGATAGAGGCCCGACTCTACGTGCACTTCCGGGTTTCAGACTTAGATATTTTGGTAGAGTTTACTTGAATAAATTCATTATTCTAAACTTGTTTTGTCGGGTGGACACCATTTGGTGTTATTATGGGGGTTAAAAGCTTTCTATTTATGTAATTATCTCAGTATTTGGGATTGTCTTAGACTATCAACTTTAATGATAATAATAATATTAACATTTATTTATAGCGTTTAATATTTTAAGAGCTGTACTATTATTACCCCCGCATTAGCTGAGCAGCCTGATAAGGCGCTCAGGCATTTGAGGAATTTCTTCCAACCAGGTACCCATTTACATCACCTGGGTGGGGAATGGCAAATGCGTATTAATGTCTTGCGAGAGGATATTAGGACCGCAGCAGCACTCCAACCACAAACCATGTGACCCACAGGCAAGTGGTGTATCCACTACACCCCTACACCTACAATGCACATGTTCACATTATTATTGCTGTTTGAAAAATATATGCCCCACCCAAGGACTTATTATACGCATGCAAAATGGTAATTCAATGTACCGGTAAATTCTTCCAAACAGCAACTCCTCCATTTAGAGCATTGTAAGCTTGAATGTGCCATTCAATTGATATGGCCAGGTCGAAATAGTGCCTTTAAAAAAATGTCACATTCTCAAGAAAAATAAAACAGGAAAAAATAATTTTTAACATATATTTGTATACACAAAAAATGACGAAACTTGGTAAAGATATGAATAATTCAAATGTTAAGTGTATACAGTACCTGTATGTACTAGCCTACACTTTCATTCTTTAAATGGGGTCATCTGTCATCTGATTCTTTGCCATTTGGACTTTTTAGGTTATTGTAATTTTAGTTTAGTTGTAGGTCTCGTTAGTGTAACTCAGATATAATAATGATAATTTACCAAAGCTCATATCACAAATAGCTAATGGAGAAAGGGAAAGAAATGAAAAAGAATTTAGAACAGTGAGATCATTGAGATGGTATGAAGGGATGACTTAGCCCCCTAGGGCCAGTTTCACCAAACCGTTATAAGTCTGAGCTCATTGACATCACATAGAAATGTGTTAATTGTATAACACATGTTTCAATGGCATGTTCAAGAAGTTATACTTTATGATTCAGGGGAAAAAAAATTTCAGGGGCTACTTTTCAAATTTGCCTGATGGAAATAACACTCTTTAATTTGTTTTGCATTGAAAAATGATTGAACTCTATGAAAATTTTTGGGGCTCTTTTATGACTTTCGGGGGCTCTTTTTGGCATTTCGGGGGCAAATTCACCCCCTTGTATTTTTTCCCTGTTATGATGGTTACTGGTAGAGAAATGGTCCCCCTGGCTTTTGAACCTTGTGATACCTAGCCTGACCGCTAGTCTACTGACTGCTCCTATTGTAATCCCTGGTTCGATCCTTCTTTTCTCTCTGATCCTTTGATGGGGTATCCAGCCCCTGGCTATTGTCCGGTGGTAAAGTCATCAGGCTGCCCATTGTCTCAATTTGTTATGCAAGACTGGAAGCTTACAATGGCTTTCGAACAGTTAGGATGATCCAACACGGAGTGATTATAAAGACAGAGGGAGATATACAGTACATGTACATGTAGTTTAAGACTTTAAGCAACTTTCACTGTTGATATACTCATGAACATCATGTAGACCCCTGATACTGTAGTGTACAGGTACAAGGTTATTTGAGATAAATTGTAGTCAATAAACTCATACTTAAGGCTGTGCACAACAGTGTAATGAGGTACCCGAGTACACGCCCAGGCTCACAAGCGAAAATACTCGAATATTCGGACGCCATGTTTTTTATAATTTTTTTTGAATTTTTTGATTTTTTTTTTTCTTCTTTTCTTGCCACCACCATACCACTGGTGCATAATCCCAGTATCGCCGAAAACACATGCAATTTTACTTCGAGTTGCAGTTGATGGCACCGATTTAATAATAATAATAATAACAGTAAACAATGCTGTTTTAAAAACCAAAGATGGCAGAATAATCCATTGTCCTCCGAGTCCAAACAGAAATCTGGACATTTTGTCCCAGTTTCTGAGTGGTGAGTTTGACAGTGCTTCAGTTTAGAATTATTTTTACCGACGGTACCATGCCAGCGGCCGCTGCTCTCCCTGGCACGGCTAAGCGTCGGCCTGGACAGTTTTTTTTTTTTTTTTTTTTTTGCGGCTGAATATTCGGGTACGAGAAATCGTACCCAAGTAGTTGTCAACCATGCGGGTACTCGAGCATTCGACTACCCGTCGCAGCCTTAGTCATACTACATTTACATGTCTGCATCATTTAACAGATCTTCTTTGTGGCCAAGTTTAGACAAAAATGAATTGAACGATCCCTGCTAAGTTTATCTACATGTATGTCTGGAGTTCTCTAGAATATTGTACATGAAATGTAGTACAGTTGTTGAAATAGTTTACCAACATATTCAAATTTATGGATGTTTCCTTCCTTGGGACCTAGTGACAAGTTAAATTATCCTATTATTAATGAATAAATTAGAATACTAGGTATCCAGTCTGCATACGTTACACATTGCTATGTCAGGCCAGCATTATGTTGTCAAGAACAACCTTTGTTTAGAAAGTATACATAAAATGGAAAGTATACATGTACATAAAATGGAAAGTATACATAAAATGATGTTAGTACTTCATACATTTGATTTGCCACTTACATGTACAACATGTATGTTTAGAACAATTTTTTTGGTGGTCATATCAGTGGCAACATCATTTTACTAGTAACACCGCTTTAAAAAACTTTGCTACATGTATAGTAGATGCACTATCGTTCTTGTGACCAATGAGCTTACATGGTTCATCATGTAAAATTTCTACTTGAATTCATAGCCAGCACAGTGAAATGAATGAAAAGATTTTTTTTTTTTAAACAGATAGGCCTATACAGTACATGAACATGTATGCACCTTACATAACATTTGATTTGACCCCTTGCTACACATGCAAAATACCCACTACCTATTGTATCCAGCTAATAATGATCAAGAAACGACTGAATACTAATCTTATTACATGTATGTTGAGCTTACTGCTTACATTTTGTAGGATAGAGCACCAATATGACATGTACATGTATACCCCTGCCCCGATACAGTGATCTATTGTAGTGTTAGGGATGCATGCATGTTGAAGGAGGGGAGTGTATGGTAGCTGCATGATGCATATGATGTATGACAAGGGAAAGCAAACATGTAATATTGCTCTGCCATTCCGTCCGCATCCATCCACTGCACTGTACTGCAATGTTGTGTACTCAAGAGGGAAAGCAAATGGCTGGCTGCCTTATGGCTGGCTTGCTTGCTTGCAGGAGGAAGGTTGGCGAGATGAGATGAAATCTGGGATGAAGTCAAGGAGATGATAGATGGATGTGGCTTGTGACTGTGAGCGACATAACTCAGATGTGCCCATACATGTACAGTACATGTATTCCTGATGTGCTAAGGATTGTTTCTACCAATGTTTGTAGTGCAGTATTGTAAAAAAATACAACATAGTCAGAATGCAGAATATAGTGTTGTTCATTCGTACAT